ACCTGAAATCCAACACTGCGAGATATGTTTTGGAAAGGATTGCCACTCACGTCAATAAGATTCGTGGCTAGAGAGAGAAAAGAATTGTTGGCGGAAGTAAAAATGTTGACATTTGCTTTAAGCCAGTTTAGGTCATCATTAGTCAATGTAATGGTAGCTTCAGCACCACTGGAAGCGAGGGAAAAAATGGAGCCAGGAGATAATGTGAGAAAGATGAAAGAGGATGGACTTTGGAGGAGTGTAACATCACTTGGGGAAAACGTCGCTCCCACAATCACTTCTGAAAATGATAGGGACAAGGTACCCATGTTGATGTCCATAATGGCATTTTCCAGAACTGGTGCAGTCTGGTCTTGAAGAAATACTGTTGGCTGGTGGTAACTTGCCTCTACGTCTGACTCATAATGAAAGTGAATGAAAGGGTTACTCCCAATATCGGTTACAAAGAACGAAGGGAGCCTGATCCAGCAGTTGTCTCGATTAGTACACAGGCCAGGGTCACTTTTTAGTCTGTTCAAGTCTTGGCGAGACATGTGGAAGTCTATCTCGATATGATCTTCACTAGTGAACCCCTCTGTTAGAGTTATACTGGTGTTTGAGTCGATGGGAGTGTTATGAAACTCCACCTGAGCGAAGTTGGTGCTGCTTCCATTGATGGGTTCAGAGAACACCAGAGTAAAGAGGCCAGAGTCAATGTCAAAGATGGGAAATGAGAGCAACTGTGGTGGAGTCACATCTGGAGAGACTGAGCTGACTTGCATGAGATCTACAGACCCCAGGAACTCATTACCACTGATATCCGTTACCAGTCCCCGGTCAAAGGCCACAAAGCAATTATCGACAGAGTAGCACAGGGGCTGCCTCTTGATATCAATGGCATCTTGCTGAGAGATGAGAGCTCTGATGGAAGTGGCGTTGCCCTGTACCAGAGAGTACGTAGCAGAGAGGTGAACCAGAGCTGCTTCAGGTGTTGGGACACTGGTCGAGTTCAGGAGGAGTATGCGTGTCTCGTCAAAGGTGTCCACCAAAACTGGCTCGTCAAAGTCGATTGCTAGTGTGTCCGAGTCGAGATCCAGTTCAAACTTAGTCACTGTTGGTTCTGTTGTGTCTGGAGTGAACACCCTCACCTGGGTTCCGTTCCGTGCTGCAACTGGAATTGAACCAAGACCGTAGGCAAAGTCCTCAGACAACACCACAAATGTGTTGTTAGTCGATGTGGCAAGGAAGGGGTTCAGCTTGAGCCCATTAAGATCATAGCTGGCGAGAGTTAAAGAAACACTGGTGTCCAGGCCACCACCAGAGGCATAGGTTCCATTATTTGTAAGAGTGAGGCTGTGACTGGGGTACACGGAGTCATCTTGAAAGCGAATCTTTCCAGCTGAGAAACTTGCCAACACCAAATCAGAAAACATAAGGTGCAGTGTACCCGTGTCAAGGTCAAAATTTACTGTTACCAGCTCGGGACTCTGTCCTGGTATTGTGGCATTAAATACCAGTGGTAGGATGAGAGGCTGTAGAGGGTTTCGAAATAAATCCTCTATGAGAGAGCCCCTAGTCGTAACCCCCAATGAGCCTCTGATATAGGCATCCTGGTAGTGCTCACTAAGTGGTGAGAGCATGTACTCACTGTTGCCTATGGTGAACACAACTAGATTCATATTCTCGTTTCCTTCTACAGACCCGTCACTGAAGGAATAGTCGAAGGATCCTTCTGTTGTTAGCAGTGTGAGCACTAGTGCAGACGTGTTCCACGAGTCTACGTTCACAGGCTCGCTGAAGATGAAGGTCAGCTGTCGGGTGTTGGGTGAACCAGCAATAAAATCGAGTAGCAAAGGTGGAGACGTATCCAGTACAATTTGTGAGGGTGGGAAGGATGCTGTTGGCGGGATAGGAACTACTTCATTTCCACTCGTGTCTTTTACTGTAAAGTCCTCCACACTGCATGTGATGTTGCCTGTTGTGACGAGAAGCTTCAAGTTGAGTAGTGTTGAAGTTTCGAGTCGCAAAGTTATGACAGTATCGTGGTCAGTTATGGCCATTATACTGCTTGCTCCACCTAGTGGGACAGGTTGGTACTCAATTAGGTCGCCCCCGCTCGTTACGAGATTGTCGGGATCAAGATCGAGAGTAATGCCAGACAGATCGATCGAAAGGGGATTGATTGGTTCACTAAACACAAGAGTCACGGAACTTGTTTCAAGGTTGAGTGCGTAAGATACTAGCTCTGGTTGAGTGGTGTCCGGGATTAAGAAACTGGTGATGGTGTTGGATAGAGATGTGGGAATTCTGTTACCTGTTGTGTCAGAAAGAGAGGTCGAGCTGACGCCCAACAAGCAATCACCAAGGGAGGTGCACAAGCTTGTATCAAACTTCACAGAGTTGAGGGTGGTAGTACTTACAAGTATTGAGAGTTCAGTGTCTAGATTTGCGGTAAAGAACCTGTCTGCTAACACACCAACAGAGTTGTTTGAACCTTCAAATGCGCCAGTCAGGTATATACCAGTGGTAATATTGATGCTCCCTGGGTTGATTGGCTCGTCAAAAGTGAGAGACAAGTTGCCTGTATCCAGGTCGAACATGAAGGACATTATGACCGGTGGTGTGGAGTCTGGAAGTATTGTAACTGAGAGCTCATCTTGGTCTGGACTCAGTGTACCTGAACTATCTCTGAAAAGCCCAGGGGGAAGAGAGGCAGTGAATGGAGGAGGGGCACGTTTGAACGAATGCAAAAGAGATGGCGGGAGAGGAAAGAAAAACCGCACGTTATCAGGGGTGGTGTAATTGTTCAGAGTGAACCCTCCTCCAGTTTCAGTGAATTCAATAGGACCCGAGGCCAGATATACGGAACCTTCATAGAGTCTGAGTGTTAGTATCCCAGCATCAAGGTCTAGTATAACTTCTACCACTGCTGGGGGGTTATTGTTTGCCAAGAAGAGATGAGATGTCACCTAAGGAAAACGTATAAGAAAATGTGAAAGAGTTTGGGATACTTTTAGGGAAGAGGGTAGCTATCACTCTTCTCTTACAAGGGGTAAAAGATTGTGTATATACCTGTATAGCAGAGCTGGAGCTGATGGGAGAGTTGGAGCCTTGAGTGAGAAATCCAGCCTGCATGGAGAGGTAGGTGTTGGCTGGCTCGGTGGCCAGGTAGATGTTGGCCTGGATGGCTGCCCAGTCTTCGCTGTCAAGAGCTGCATTCAGCGTGACTGTCAGTCCTCCTATGAAACTGCAGCTACCACCTCCCTGTGTGTTAGCAGCGGACAATGTTCTGACATCAAATTTAGCTATCCTTACAACCCCTGGAGCCCAAGTAAATGATTATATGAACTTCTGATAAAAAAAACACTCCGAAAGACGACACAGTAGAAATCAATAAAGGACAAACTTTGAGGTCCCAAGTTTTAGTAGCTACATTTTAAACCTCCAAAGAGAGGACAGCCCCCTGTAAAACACAACATGCCTGGTCCCAATGTGTCCATTACTTAGAGGTTCACTGTATTGAATCTCTTCTTGCACTATACCTACTCCAAGTAATGCAAGAAATGCCGAAAGGCTGTCTAGAGCTCTGGCTATTTTTCTCCAGCCAGTTACCTCTGGTGTATGAGATCCTCCAGCCATGAGAACGGATGAGTTCTGGAGAGTCAGTTTGGAAACATCACACTCGGAGCTTTGCAGAGTTGTGTCGAATGTAAGAGTAAGCAGCTCCGGTGGGGTAAGAGAAAGGGAGAAGGAGACCAGGGATGGCAGTTGTGCTGCAGATGAATGACAGAAATTAGTGGACAGAGAGTAAACACTACGTTAATACTCCTTGGAACCTCAAACAACTGCAAAAACATTAACGGCTGTATTATTGCTAGAACATCTGGCTTTGCACTGCACTAACCAAGCATAGCTATAAGGTACATGTTGACATTATGAGTCACCTATTGAGTGATTCTAGGAGGAATAGTGGCAGACATTTCAAATTTTGCAATGAAAATCATGAGTGTCTAGTTAGTTTTTATATTGCGGGTGCCTATTTATACGTCCCCCCTATAAACAAATTTTTTTCAACTCGTCAATGCATGCATTATAGGTCATTGAACATATTATGGGTCACTCATAAAAACAATATCACCAGGAACACAGTACACAGAGTAGAATTCAATGAACAGAGGTGCCATGAAGTGCAGTTGACACTACTACTGAAGAATGACAGGAATGCATAAATTGAAAATTATTAAGGACACGTTAATAACAAACAAAAACGCATGACAAAAATTAGGGGACTGGGTAAGAGTATAAAACTAACAACAAATTTCACAGCTAAATGTCTCAGGAAAATTGTGTGGTTAACATTAGTACACTTCAAATCGTACCATAAACCACATGAATCACACTGAATCCACACTGAATTATCTTCCCCATAAACAAGGCCACACTTAGGACACTCTGCCTCACTCTCCTCACTTTCATCATCGACAGTAAGTCCCTGAAGACATTCTTCCAGTTGAGACTTTTTCTGACTCCTTGTCATGCTCAATATCAGTTTAACGACAACTATGAGCGCCGTCAGTGTACCCGTGAAACCGCTCTTACATTGTCGGTTGTTGTATGCACGAAATATCGCTTCGATACTTGAAAGTGACTCGTAATACACGCTGACTCGCAATAGGAACATAAACCTTATACCACTTAGCTAGAGCTATCTGTACACATGTTCTGTGCATCTTACCTTCCCCCAGGGCGGCCAGGATGACGACAACGTAGATGCTATACATCCCACTCTACTGGTATTCAGCAGTCCTGCGTTTGTGTGGTCCACCAGTCAGTACCAAAAAAGTGTGTGTTTGCGCGTATATATATTATACATAATATTGTGCAGCAGCCCCACCCTTTTTTTGAGGGTGGGGCCGGCGCGGCCGGCCGGCCGGGGCTAAAAAAATAGGGTGGGGCTGCTGCACAAAACGCGCAACAGTCCGTAACTAGTTGATCATAAAGTTTCCTTCAGCAAGTTGTCAGTTCATTCTGCCGTGATACTACAGTCACTTGCACTTATAGCTACCCCCTTCTGGAGGACCTTCTCCGGCTCCGGTCACAAGACAATGATGTCATTGGTTGTTGTGGTGGGCGTTATTTAGATTTTCTCACAGGCCATTCTTCTTGTCCGTCGTCATCAGCATTGATCCGCACTCTTGACTCAGCTGTTCAGTCAGCACGGCAGTGGGAGCGCTTGGCGTGTCGTACCGTGCGACGCAGCGAGGTAACGGACCGCCGATCGCTGAGTCTTTGATCGTGAAACCAGCTACACTGTTTTTGGGAATCGATATTCACTCACCTGTCGTCTCTACAGCCACAGCTGGAAGAGAGACTGGGAAAGCGGCTAGTCGGTAGATAACGAAGGAACAGCGAGACATGAATTCCATCGTGGGAGACAGATATATCGCGGAACTGGTCCAGATTTTTGAGCAGCAAGGTATTGGAAGGGAATCTTTGTATTTCTCTACAGTACATGTAAATACACTGTGTCTCTACTGCACTGTTTCTGTCCAACTAAAGTTGCAATCCGGTCCACCAGCTGTGGGCTCAATGTAACCATCACACTGAGGGTAGATGGTGTGTATTTACAGTGGCACACTCCTGTTTGTTTATTACGAAGTAGTTGGATGGGCTTTTGCCATGCTCTCTCAGCAAGGACTTAGCTGTATTATTAGTTTACACTTGTGGGGAGGTGGTACTGACTGGATAGTTAGAGTGGGTGATACCTGAACTAGTCTGCTCACATGTTTACTTTAAGATTTGGAGTTACTATTGTGGGGTTTGTACATTATCAATGATACCTGACTGGACACTTTGGTAGCAATAGTCTAATCACACGAGTGTATAAGATTCTGACAGCATGCATTGTTCCTGAAAGAAGTAGTGATTTGTGTCAAAGTATTAGGGGTTACTATTCTACATTGTCAAAACGTCAAAACGTATAAGGGTTTACATGCTCAGCAGTGATCAATATAGCATTTGATAGTGAGATAATTCACAATACGCATTTGTATACCTGTTTGTCAAAATAGTCTCTACTAATGAATTTTACTGGCAGCGCCTTAAACTTTTTAGCTCTAAGTCTTCCCGCTGTACTGTATATATTTAGTTTTGTAGGTTGTTGTTTCATGCTTTTACTTCACACTTTGTTTATTCAAGCGATCACATCACCGTTCAACTTTGTCAAATGTTGCCACCAGTGCACATGAGCATGACATCAACTAGCAGCTCACATGCAGCGTGCAGCGGCCACACCATGTGCCATACTCTACTACTGTCGAGAGTGCTGTATTACAATGTACGTGTGTTAGGACAGGTGAAAACAAAGGTTACATTCTGCCTACATCGCCAGTTCTTTATGAGGGCATATTGACTGAGTGTTAGCTGATCCTTTAAGGCATTGAGAGGGCATGTCACGCTACACTCGCCACTGTTTCTGGTGTGCATTAACACTTCAATCATGTGCGGCTACTCTCTCTCCCTCTCCTTTTCACCCTCTTTCTCTTCCTTATACGCTCCATTTTCCCTTTCATCCTTCCCCTGCTCTTTCCTTTTTTTCTCTCATCAAGTGGGTCGGTGGGTCATGAACATTCTGTAAAAACTTCGTTCTTTTTTCTCTCCCTCCTCCCCCCTCTCTCTCTCATCCTTGATCGTTTACCTTTTTACTTCTTCATTTATTCTTTCCACCCTTCCTCTTATATACTTCACTTTCCCCCACCTTAACTCCATACACCTTCCTCCCCCCCTCTGTTCCTCCCTGTTTCCCAGGCTCTGCTCTCTATGCAGGTCAGCACAGTCTCTGTCTCACTGTACCATGTCTCCACTACATTCAGAGAAAGCTCTCAACACTCCATGGTACGTAGTACTACATGTGTACGTATGTCTTCATTGCTGTGTTCGCCAATATTCAAAGTCTGCCGCTAAGTGAATGTCAACACAGGTTTTCTTGTGTGCCACTCTTTCTTATTGTTGGACACATGTTGTCTTTTGGGTTGGGTACACAAGTAGAGCTATTGCCTCTAGCATTACCAGGCAAAGTACGTACGCATATGCACAAGGTCTGTGACCACACTCAGTATTGCTTATATTCATGGTTTGGTTACCATTCACACTACAGTGTGTATCACTATCTCTTCTCCTTTCTCCTCTTTCTCCTCTTTCTCCTCTTTCTCCGGCTTGGAGTACACCTCACTGTATGCACCTGTCCACGTTGCTAGTTCCAGTTCTGAGCCTCTCTTTGTCCCTTCCTTCAAATGTTGGACCTGACTCTGTATATTACCTTCCCTCTCCCTTTCCCATCACTGATATCAGTGGTATACATGCATGTTGCAGTAGCATAGGAAGATGTTTGGACAGAGGGGGGCTCCACACGCATGCGTAAAAAAAAACACGTAGGCGCTGCCACACCCACTGATTTTCTATGCGCGAGCCCGAGAAAATATAGGGGGGCTCCAGCCCCCGGAGCCCCCGCTGTTCCTACGCCACTGATGTTGTGAGTTACATGTTCTCTTTTTCATCCCGTCCTCTCTCACTTCTAGTTTTTTTCACGTTCTTCTCATTGTTACATATCTCGTTCGCTTTCATTTTTTCTCTCTTCCTTTTCCATCCCTCCCCCCTTTCCCACCTCCATGCAGAGGGGACCGGGAACCCTCTACCAGCTCAGTTTGCCCACCTCCAGCAGCTCCAGGAGTCATTTGGTCATATCCTCATCCTCAAACTCATCTCGGACAGAAACTATCAGCTCTCTCCAACTGTCACCCTCAGTCTCGAGCCCTTCAGAGCCGTCCATTCCCTCATTGTGAGACCACATTATGATTAATACTGCTCAGCCATTTTTCTGTTGACCAGTGATTTTAGACTGGTGAAAACCCTTAGCACTGTACTATGCATGCATAGCATGTTTCAAGACGTATTTCACCAAACTTGGACCACGAAAGTAAACCATGTGTGCATTGTACTGTGCACGAATCAATGAATAACGACCGTCTACAATCGCTGGCTTGATGAATGATGGTTGATACTCTGTATGATGTATGGAAACTTGGAGAGAGAACCCTTTGGTTGTTTTCATGGCTGGATGGCGAACCAGACCATTTCTCTCTGCACAAAATTATCTATATTTGTCACCAACTTGCTACGGTGTACTCTCTTCCACTGTACATGTGTTACTGGCTGCCCATTCCCCCTCCTCCCGCCCCCCCCCGCAGCTGAAGAAGGTCCCGTTGTCAATGTTGAGTGGTCTGTCTCGCCTGAGGTCCCAGCTGCGCTCCCTGGTGGTTCAGCGCTGCGGAGTGACGACCATGGAGGAGGTGATCATTAGGTGTGGTGCCGATGACTCCGCCTCGTTCTCCTGGGCAAGCCTCCGAGAGATGGACTTCAGCCACAACTCCATCAATCAGCTCGGAGATTCTCTGGTCTGTCATACATACATAGCCACACCACTACTTTTAAAGTTTAGTACTAGTCATGTGACCTTCAACCAATCAGATTTCATTACATGCACACTGCTTTAAATTACTTTATGCACTTAAAAGGTGTGCATTTTAATTACAAGTAGTTATTGCACATTTTTTCCACTTAATGCGCACTTTGGATGTGGTCACATGCAGCACTATAATGTTTAGAACACAGTAAATATTGCAGTATGTGGTGTTAATTAGTGTTCTTGGAATGTGTGATAGTGATCTTGATTATGTGAGCTTCGTGCACGAGTTTGTGCGGACACACACACTCATGGTCATAATGATAGCAACGTTGTGCATACAGCCTAGTTGGCCCAGCGGTTCAGCTCGTCGTCCTCCATAATTGAGCGCACTATTTACTGCAGGGTTCAATTCTCTCTGGTAGTTTTTTCCACGCAATTTGTTACGGCTGGCAAATCATCATTTTGCTAATACAAGGTATTATTGCAGCAATAGCACTGGGTCTACTCCGAGGGTTTGCACTTTAGTGCTTTTCATTGTACAATCTTGCAATGGTGTACGTACGCCATGTGCAAGTTGTGGAGTTGTGTGTTAGACAAAAATGTGGTTACTACTCAAGCAATGTTAAAGATAATGGTTAGCTGTGTGGAAGCAGTCTGGAGCCTGTGTATGTCCTGTGAGGTTAGCTGTGTGGAAGTGTACATATGTCCTGTGAGCAAAGCCTTTCACTTGCTTTAGGAAGTTTCTTGAAGGTGTTCATGAGGTTCCTATATTGTGTCCTTGTGCATGTGTGGTTTTTTCCTTGAAAGTGTTTGAGGATACTGACATACACAGCAGTCTGGAGCCTAGCTGTGTGTGTAGCTGTGGTACAAATTGCCTCACAGTGACTATGTATGGAGGGCCTTTTGGCTCATTCACATGCATGTGCCTCGTTCTGTGTGCAGCAATTCCTGACAGCCATAGAGAAGATGGACCTCAGTAACAACGTCATTACTGATGAGAGCACTGGAGTTGAGGTCAGCCGTCACTAGAGCACTGCTGGGTATTGAGTCCCTGGCAACACATTCCCTCCATATTATATAGTGCACTTCTCAACTGTGTCAAAGGTCTGAATGAAGAGCATTGTCTAGGAGGTGTCAGAGATACCGAAGTTTGAAAACAATAGAGTGTGTGACAGGTGAAAGCCACAAGCCATTGGCTTTCTAACAGGCAAAGAAAGCTTATCGTACAATGTACCTGGATTCTTGTCCAACCTGCCCATTATTAACCCTCGGCGAGCATGCACAGCGAGGGTTACGGTACTTGGTTTGCAGGTGCAACGATACAGCCAATAAGCTACCCCAATAGGTTCGGCGCTACACTGGCTTGATTTTAGAACTGGCAATTTTCGTAAAAATACTGCGTTATGGCGTAAAAAGCAAGTGAGCGCCAATATGCAAATTAGCACAGGCTTAGGTACCTCCACAAGATGTGCTTGCTCTGCGTACATTGGAGGCTCATTTCTACACTGTACCTGGTTTGTGACTGTGTGATTACTGGTATTGTATGGCAGGAGAGTAGACCAATGATGTAAGTTGATGTAACGGCTAACAAACTTAATTGGCGTGCACCCCAATAAAGCACATGAATCAGTGTTGGTTATTTTGTGTGTGATGTACACATGGTTAGCAAGCCTTTTTCTTTCTGATTACCTTGTTGGTAGCTTATTTATTGGACCATTTACATTCGAACTAAAGTTCTGAGTATGAGGTATACAGTTACATACCCAGGATTCCCTTCTCCCATCCTCTCCCCCCTCCTAACCAGCTGATAGACAGTGTGACATTCCTCCATCTTGGGGTTCAATCAGCTGAAGACCGTCCCTCGGTTTGGACCTCGGGCCAAGTTCAACCTCACTGGACTCAACCTACGCAACAACAGACTGCCCACCATTGAGGGTGAGAACACCAGTTGTTCACTGGATCCCCACCAACCATAGATAGCTTGTTATGTTCGTTAAGCGTAACATTACACAAAACCTTCCACTTTTTGTGTCTTGTAAATGCATATTTGTTTGAGACAGAGAACAGCAACGCAATCACAGCAGTATTATTGTGGAAGCTAGTACATTAAACTTGTTTGTGGAAAGTTGGTTTATGACGGAACTATATCTTACGTTAAAATGTACATACTGTAGTGCAGGAATTTTAACTAGAGTCCTTTAATTTCTGAAAAATTACGTGTTACATGTGTATGCGTTGGCAGGATATGGGTGCTTGCTGGCTTCATTGCCGCGGCCCAATCCACTATGTCAGCATTCTGAATTCGGGTTTTGGCTCGGTACTGGCAACGCCTTGTGGGGATGAATCTCATTAGTTCAAAAACCACAAGTGCTGCGCTCAACTTTGCCTTTATAAACTCGTGATGCCAGAGAGAGAAGTTGCGGTATGCTTTGCTGATGAGGGCCAACAAGCCCGAAACAGCTGTCCAGAGCTCCCATCTCTTTTTTCCTCTTGGCATCACACGGTCTTTTGTTACATGTGTGTACATCACCATACCGCAGTATTATATGGTATGCGTATTACACTAACATGCGAGTCATGCACTGCAAACTATAGTGTCATACAATGCTGCCCTGTCCCGGGTCCATTCTGTAGGTATACAGGAACTGGACTCTCTCACGGACCTTGACCTCACAGACAATCTGCTGACTCGGCACTCTGATCTCCAGCCACTCCGTAACCTCCACAACCTCTCTTTCCTCTCTCTCGCAGGTGAAAAACAGCAATTGGGCAATGGGGAGAAGCTCTTTTGGGCATCTTTTAAATTAGAGGGTGCTCTTTATAAAAACACAGCTACTGTATGTACATATGTACTGTTACTACTTGCATGAGCAAAATATCTTTTATTTGCATGTGACCTTGTATGTACGTAGAAGCTTGAGATTAACAATTTGATGTGCACAAGTTGGCGATTTTCTTTATTGATAAGTACACATCAAGGTGGTCTACATATGCTGACCTAAAATTACAAATGGAAAGTTTTGCTGCCGTAGAATTTTATGTTGTTGCTCCACAGGGAACCCCCTGTCATTCCACCCAAAGCACCGAGTCAAATCAACCGAGTGTCTCTCCAATCTCATCAACCCCTCCTCCTTCCGTCTGGACGGGAAGAAACTGAGCGGGAGCGAGAGGAAGGCTGTCCCTCGCTCACTCACCCACTACCCTGGCTCCTCCCCCTCCATCAGCTCCCAGACAACCGCCTCAGACTCCCCTCACCATCGCGCCCTCACCCCTCCACCCAGCTCGCAGCTAATGAGCAGGGACTCCCCCACTCACCAGTCTGATGCTGCTGTCACTGCCAAAGTGAGCCATATACATACAAAAGCATCACATGGTCTATTGTTACATGCTTTAGGTAGTGTTTTTCATACCAGTAGAATGTGCCTATGGGATGTCCTTTTCTATCATGCCATTATTGGTAGTCTGATTGATTCAGTTCGGCTCCATGAGAGCCGAATGTTTTCTGTGCACTCTGTGTTGTAGCAGTGTGCCCTTGCATTTCTATATTACTATCAGTTTCCTATAATTCCTGAGAGTATTGACGTTGCCCATCACCTGTGTCTGTCGGTGTTTGTGGTTTGCCTTCATGATAAACAAGATAGATTCTTACTCTCCGAAAAATCAGAATATCTCTAAGCTACATAACTGTAGTACATGCGATATTGATCTATTCAAACCCGTAGCTGACAACAGGCTAACGATGACCTAATAGTATCAAGTGTGTATATGAGTTAAACCTCCAAAAATCGAATAAACAACACCTCTCTATAAGGCACACTTGGTTCTGCCCCCTAGTAATACATTAATGTATTCTTATATATCTTTAGTAATATTGTATATCTCTTATAATGTGTTCTTCAACCTCAAGAATAATTCTGAATAGAGGGCACTTCCCAATGTCTGTCTTTTATTCAGAGGTTTGACAGTGATATTACTGTGTCCTCTTCTCCCTCTCTTCACTCTACCCAGCGTCGTCGTCACAAGAAGACGCCGGCCATGAGAGTGGTGGCCCTCCATGACTCGGACGAGGAGCTGGACTCCCTCAACGACACCGGGAGTGGGACCGTTGGCAGCGAGGTGGCCTCCTCCGTCCCACTCAAATACGAGAAGAGACTCCAAAAGATGAAGGACCTTGCCAAACAGATGCCTGACAGTCAGTCACAGTCAGACAATCAACCCCTAGCAACAAATTTAGATGGTCCCAATATGAGAAAACCTTCTGTTTGGGGCAAATTGTCTTCTTTGAAGCATATTCAGGGGGACAGGTGAAGATGTCCACCTGGTGCCAGGCCTGAAGTAAAGTCCCTTTCTATATGAATGTAGTTATTTGTCTTGATGATAAGGTCATAAGTGTACCAGAATTGTCTTGCTGTGTTGATTCTTTCGTTTTTGTCTGTCGTATGCAGAGTGGTTGCTGTCTAACGCCAGTTTGGATACCACTTCATCAGGTGAATTAACATTTCAATGGCCTTATAGCGCTGCAAATTTTGACTTACGACTGTGGCTGCTGTAGTGCATGCAAGTCGGGTGTGCATGCTGTGTTTGTAATTACGACTTACGAATGTGGCTTCTTATTAGTGCATGCATGTTGCATGTGTGCATGTTGTGTTAATTAATTAGCAATATTTCCTCCACTACATTACAAAGCTGCACATGACAAAGGTGCAGGTTTACCCGAGGATTAACAGTATCCCGATGTTATTCCATTCTAGAGAGTAACCAGATGGCTCGAGGAGCCAGTCAGCCCCGCCCAGCCCAGGAACACCCCCCTCTCGGCCCCGCTGCCATGGAGACTGTTGGCAAGGCAACAGGCGACAGTGGAATCCAGACTACTCCAGGCTCAAGGAGCAAGAGGAAGTTGAAGAAAAAGTCTAGCCAACAAGCAGGTATGGAGTTTTTTTTATGTCGCTAATCTGTTTTCACTTCTTGTGGATGGTGACTTTTGAGCCTAAGTTTAGAAGTGTTGTTGAGGCTTGAGGCTATGCAGTAACATTCAAGTGGAGAGAATGTCCATATTAACAGAATGACATCCATTAGTATTAAGCAGTGTATAAAAGTCACATGAGTACAGGGATGCCTTCTTAGTAGCTTGCGTACTTATATTTTTATATTTTACTTTTTTCTTGCTGCTTTTTTATGCTTTCTTGCTGTTATTGCTTTTTAGTTGCTTAGATATTGAAATTATATATTCTTCTCTTTCCTCCTCTTCCTACTTCCCTCTTACTCCTCCCCCTTCTCCTCCTCCCTCCTCTTCTTCTCTCCTCTCCTCTCTCTTCTTCTTTCTATCTCCTTCCATCTCCTCTTTTTCTTCGCTTCTCTCCCTTCATCTTCTTCCTCGTCCTCTCTCTTCTCTCTCTCTCCTTCCTCCTTCTCTGCTGCTGCCTTTCTCCTCTCTCTCCTCCGCTTATTTGCTGTTCTTGGTCTTTTTTTTCCTGTTTTTTGTGCGCTCCTGCTTTTCTCTCTCCCTCTTTCCCCTCTCTCTCCTTTCGATTTTCTTTCCCCCCTCTTCCCTTTCTCTCTCTCTCTTCTTCTCTTCTCTCCCTCCCTCTTCCTCTTTCCTACTACCTTCTCTCTTTCCCTCTCTTCTCTCTCTCTCACCTTCTCTTCCTCTTCTCCTTCTCCTCTCTCTCTCTTTTTCCTGCCATCTCCGTATGTGTGCCCCCCGTTTCCTTCTTTTTTGTCCTCTTGCACTGTTTGCCTGGCCTGTTTCCCTTCTATCTTGCTTGTCTCGTCCGTCCGTGTGCCCCTCGCCCCTTTTGTTAACAAGCCATGTAGCTCTGACTGTGCTATCACTCTTTGCTGTGAGTGATGGCAGTAAATGACAAACAGAGTGACGGACACACACACATTCGCAAATGTAATATATTTAAACTGTACTGTGCGTGTGCACTGAGGTTAACAACCCATAGGAAGAAGAGCTCACATTGACTCTATCAGCCCATTCTCCTTAGATTATGCCATTCCAATTACGAGGAGCTATCGCAAGAGTCAAAGACGTCGGCTTTTCCTGCGTCATCCAGCCCCCTCCGATCTTCTCCTTGTTTCTTCTCCTGCTCCTACCGCCTCTTCCTCCTCCGTTCTTTCCCTCACAACCACCTCACCCCTCCCTACGTCCACCGAGACTTCACCGCCAGGCCCATGGAATCGGAAGAGACAGCAGAAAGCCAAGGTGCCTCAGTTCTACAGATGCACCAAGAGATGACCCAGATTTCGACTACAGATCAGAAGAAGAGCCTCACGACAGCTCAAGTGACGATGAATTCTCACTACAAGAAGTATTTGATGACTGGATGGTGTCCCTTCGGCACGACCAGCGACAGGTTATCCTCATGGAAAACTTTCGCAATCGGTCCAACATGAACGTAAAACAGGCAGCAACTGAGGCAGGGTCAGGTTGTGGGGTTTAACGAAAAGACAGTTCACCGCTACAGGGATGATTTATTTGCGAACGAAGGGCACTTCTCAATCCAATTGCAGGGGAAGTACGAGCGACACTGTGTTCATTACGACGAAGCCCTGAATGACAAGGCTGCAGAGTGGGTTCGTGAACACGCTTTTGTGAAGGGGGAGCCAAACATGACGGCTCAATCATTCTGTGAATGGGTAAACAATGGCCTCCTTCCATCACCTCCACATTTTCCACGATCGATTTCTCTTCAAACCGCTGGCATCCCTGTCACTTGGGGCTCAAACTGGTGAGCCAGAAGAAAGGTGTGTATATTGATGGACACGAGCGAGAGGACGTGGTTCGCCATCGAAAAGGCCTGGATGATCTCCGCAGCAAACATCGTCAGCCACTGCCATGTAGCGATGAACCCCCACGGATCCGACAAGAGGAAGACGAGGAAAAGAAAGAGTTAGTGGTCATTTACCATGACGAGTCAATATTCAATACTAACGAATCTGCATGCACGGCGGAAATTGACATTCCCTAAGCGTGACTAATTGACATTCTTAAGCGTGATGGACACGTACGTACGTATATCTCGAGAATACAACCCGGAGTATTTGCCTCACGCTAACGCGCTCGGCAATAACCCAGTAAAAAAGCTGGCGTAACACGTCTACGTAACATACTGATCCCTGTTTATGGGATTTAAGCTAAATACCTCTTGTTTACCAAGCAATGGTAGATACTTACTATCAGCTAAAGATGTCAGGCCATGTGTATGCGGGATTATGAATGACAACATGCTTTATTCATGTACGTATGTGTAGGAGTGTGCCATGAATGTGTTGTTATTTCACATACAGATGCCGCTACCGTGGGTGAACCACGAACCTCAACTCCGATCATCATGTCTGAGATTGGTGAGCTGTTATGCATGAATCTTGCCCTTTCATACCTGAACAAATATGTATGTTATATAGGCACCTAAGCACTGGTAAGGATAACTTTATTCCCAGTCACTAGGGTTACTGCACAATATTATGGATTAAAGTAGTTCACTATTATGCAACATGTGCAATAGCATTGCATTGCACTATACGTAATAATATGCATGTCCTGCTATGGGAAAGGGCGATTTGATGCGGAGTTGTAATTGTGTGCTAGTATGATGTTGTGTTCCTTCGTGGCTCTTGAACTTTTTAAAGTCCATAGGCATAAAAAAGACCTACCTACATTTTCGTGCAAAGTAAAGAGCTTTTGCAGTTTACTAGACGTGAGACACACTCGCGGCGATAGTACACACTCTTTTGCACACGTGAAACATGTACGTATGCAATTATCTCGTTTTTCTTCTTTATTCTTTGTTTTTCTCACGTGCTTCCGAACATACAATGTCTACATCTCGCATAATTGTATGTGCTATTATTAACCCTTTGGACTCCATGGGTATCTCCTTAAATAAGCAGAAATTTATGTATAACGTATTAACTCCTAGTAGTGCCCCATATAAATTCCTATGGGTTTATGGAGGCTCTGGACATACGTATTTATATGTCCATGGCTTGCTAAGGGCTAAGGCGCATAACGGGAGCACTGTGTAGAGCTTCCTAGCAATAGAATGCCTCTATTTGGCGAAGCCAGTGAAGTGAGGACTATCAACACCAGTGGCCAAGAGGCAGAGATGTAGCCAGTGCTGTTGGCTCCAAACACACTCACTCCCTGGCTAACGCAAAACCGTGGCCTCAGGAAGTCCATGTTCCAAATCCCATAGTGTATTGAGTGAGATGGGCAGCCAGTGACCACTCTTGGCCAGTATGCTGTAGGTAGTTGGGTCAGTAATTTCAAAGCGGAGTATGATGCCAATCCAATTGCTAGAGTTGGCGGAAAAGTTCAGAACCACTAGTACAAGAAAAGAGAGAGTCGAGAACCCAATTTCAAGCAGAATGTAGAGTGGTATACGTACCATAACCATAGCAGGGACATTCGCAAGGTAGGCTAAAGAAGGTATAAATGGAAATCCCACAGTCTTCCATGCATTGACCACAAAGAAGTCCTTGTCTTGCTGCTACCACAGAAAAACTTTCAAGTTCTAAAATGTTTGGAGGCAGTTCTGTGAAAGTGACACTTTCTGGTAATAACATGCGTATAGTTGTACGGTCCAATCAAAACCTGTGTTGGCAACTAATAGTGAGCCATTTTGTCGCTGTCATACTGTATTATGTGTCAATCAGGCCTTGTGTGTCAATGCAGGAAAAGCCTGTAGTATGAGGTGTAAGCTACGCTCAGAACATGGTGAAGTGGTATCAACTGGAGTGAGGTGCCATGGAGGACACTTATAGTCATCCCCTCACACTAGTCCTTGTAGGAGACATAGTAGTATATACCACTATCTGGAAGGCGATATCAATCTTTTTCTGCCAACTCCTAAACACGTGTTACTGCTGTTCAGCTGTTCCATCTCAGTTATCCACGGGGTTTCGAAAACAAATTTCAGCATTTTTCGCTAAAACATTGCAAACCTGAATGTGTTTGTATGTGTAGAACCTTATACTTTTCTAGTGTTGTGTTTCAAAACCAAATGACTCACGTTTAGCTGTGGAAATGAAACCTACCCTTACACTCTTTATTAACTTTTACTGCCGTGGTCTTGGTGCACTGACTGTGCTTCCTCTTACAAACCTAAAATGAGAACCATGCACACCACACCTGTCAGAATGGTAAAGATATTCTTTTGGCCACTGACACACTCAGGCAGTGGATCTAGACATCAGAAATACATATTGTATGTATGTGTACCTCGTTGTCTTGTTAGTAGAATGTTTTTTCACAAAATTAACACGTGTGTGGTAAGATGATAGATAACCTAGAGATATACCCAAGTGAAGACACCTTTACACCTACACAATTTTGTAAAAATTTTAGCTTATGTTGGGATGGCAGAGGACAAGTGCTAAAACCTCATGTGTGTGTAATTGATAAGTAGATGGATGTGTTGATATATCTGCCAATTTGTGTGCATGATGTAAACTGAGACGTTCACAGTAGTGCTATACCGGTAGTGACTTCTACTTTCACTCCAGATGGTGTGTCTGGTGAGTGTTTCCTTGTGGAGAGGTATGAGAGTGATGTTGAGGAGGGTGGGGAGGAGGCAGAGGGGGAGCAAGTCCTCCTCGCACTCTCCGACACATTTCTTGAGGAGAAGGACATCAATGGCAAGGTAGTGTGTGTGTGTGTGTGTGGACGGTGGTGTGTGTGTGTGTGTGTGTGTGTGTGTGTGTGTGGACGGTGTTGTGTGGTGTGTGCTTGTGCGCACGTGCGTGTATGAGTGCATGCGCATGTGCGTGCCTATGTGTGTGAGTGTGAGTGTGATCTAAAATTATACTAGCCACTCTAAAAACTGTTCTAATAGGTACTCGATCGCATGGACCTGGGTTGTCTTATGACTGCTGAGGTGCGAAGAAAACCCTGGAAGTCTGCTCAACAGTAAGTTTACAAGCACATGATAAAAAAATCTCTGCTTCTCTGATTATGAAGCAGGAACAGAAACGAAAAGTGTTTAAACTTTTCCATGATGTGTCGTTAACGTATGGGTAAGGGCCGTCTAAATACTGCACAGCCCACAGTGCATTGTGCTACCATAATCAGTTTTGAAACACCTACTTTGCACTAGGCTGCATTTATGTATGATGTGCACATCCACAGGGCAGAGGTGGTTACACTACAGTTCAGTCATGAGAGGAGAGACAGGAGAAAGAGAGAGTATGTCATGATTGAGTTGAACCATGATGACATCATTGAGTTACTGGCCCCAATCTCTGAAGAGAACCAGAAAGCTTTCTCCCTTGCCAGCAAAGTTGAGGTGAGCATCTGTGAAATGGTTGTTATGCATGTGTCTGCCACTAGTATTGGCAGGTTTGGACTAGTATTGCTTTTCATCCAATGTTTATGAGAAAAACTCTGCAATACTAGTCTTGGTGCACTATTATATACCAAGACATACATCTATAAATGTTAGGTCGTCTCTTTGTTCTAACTACCACTGTTTGTGTGACTCAGTGATCATGTGTCCATGTTGCATGTGTTTCAGTACAAGTTCTCTCTCTTTCACTCACTCACGCAGTGTTTCACGTGTCAGCGGGTGTTTGATGCCACGGAGTCAATGCTGATGCCACTACTGAGTGAGCCCAACCAACTCTCGCCCCCACCACCCCACCCCCACCACGGGTGCCACCAGAGACCCTCTCTCGGCAACCGATATTGCCCCTTCTGCAAGAGTCAACAGCTCCAGTACATCACCAACACCCCAGACTTTAGACACGACAGCTCAACACTGCCAAACTCTTCTTCAGCTAGGGCTGTCCCTAGCCAAGGTGAAAAGTCTACCGAATTTGATAACACGGACAGGAACAGACAGGGAAATATAACACTGGGATTTGAGGTCAAAACTGACACGGAGTCTTTTGACCCGGCAGCAATCTCAGAGCAGGCTCCAAGGAGGAGGGAGCGTAGCTCTGCATTTGTGGAGGAGTCACACGGTGAGAGAGGAGGGTGGGAGGACCTTGAGCAAGCGCACTCTTACGATAAGGTTCCCACGCACCCGCAGCCCCAAAACGATGTCATCGGCCACTCTGAGACTACCAGCGACCAAGTCGAGGCGGCCGACACAGAACAGCAGTACTCCATCTCCAGTTGGAGCTTCTCGGAGCTCTCAGGGCATCCCCCACCACAGAACTATCTCCGCAGCTCGCACGACGTCCTCTACCACTCCAGGGATCAAGTTGGGGTGGAGTACCCCAGACGAGACTCCGGAGACACGGAAGACTCCTCCATCAGCTATTCCCGGGACACGAGTGAATATAGACACGATAGCAAGAGCGCAACACAATCTCAATTCGGTGGACAACACAGGCCAAAACAGAAGTACAATACAGTCCCTACTGGGGTCGGGAGAGGTTCGGCCACAGCTAGTGACCTGTCCCGCAGTGGAGGAAAGTCATGCCGACTCACCAGCAGTGAACCAACACCAAAACTGCAGCCACATTCGTATTGGTCTCAGGAGAGGGGGTCCACTAACACACCAAGCGGGGAACTTAGACGGTGCCCTTCACACGACCAGCCGCGCTTCCAGCAGCGAAACCCGTTTGATTACCAGGGGCACCCCCACAGCCGATCTTGCACCGACACGACAACCTCTCGGATGAGAATCCCTCGAGCCAGCCTGGGTTCTGTCCAGGAACAGCCCGCCCCAAAGTCACTCAACCCGTTCGATGAGTCGTATTGTTCCACCAACCCGTTTGACATGGATGAGAGCACTACCAGCAACCCGTTTGGTGCCGAAGACGACGAGGACGAAGCCGTTAGGGTGGAGAGAGTTAAAGAACAACAAGAGAGTAAACCCAGCGAGAGAGGGAGAGGTTTTTCTCAGAACGAGGAGCGGTACTTTCCGGAATTCCAGTCTCAGCGTAAGGACTCGAGAGGAGAGAGCAAAGACGACACGGACGTTGACACCCCTGGTGTCTCCCTACACAACGTACCTCCTCCGTCCAGTAGTGTACCCGTCTCTAGCTTCATGTCTGGTCTTGTTACTCACCCATCGTTCGGGAGCACATCGCGTGACTCTCGGGCAGTTTCAAAGAAGAGCAAGACTCTCCCGTGCGGTAAAAGTCCCAGAGTCACCCAGGAGAGTCCGGAGTTCATCAAGAGGACCCGCACGACCCTACCACGGGGGAAGCCCCCCATCCCCGGGATGCTGATGAGAGGAAAGTCAATGGAGTCCCTGGAGAACTGCAGCCCGCAGAACGAGCATCACCCGATCAAGTCCAATCGGATCATGTCGCCTCACTCCAGGAGACGTTGGGATGACCCCTATGGTGAGGTCTCCCCGGGTGGTGGGAGGGGTTCATCACAGGGGAGTAAAAACGGGGGCAAAGGTCACAGGAATGGCTCGATGTCTCCGTCGGGACCCAATGGGGGTAGTGGGAGTGGCAAGTCGACCCCGGAGGTCACCCGACGAGGTCACAGCTCTTCAGACACACAGAGTACAGGAAGAGGTCAGAGGTCATGCAACTTCTGTTTACCACAGGCCTTAGAATTGTACAACATTGACGTTCTGCTTGTACACTTGCTTTTGTGAGCACATTCTGTACTCTGGGCACTTAATGCATAACTAGCCAACTATGAGAGGTATCTCTATAAGTTTGAGGTTGATGCACACATCCAAGGACCTAGTTACAACATTTCCATACAGAATATGCTGGTACACATGCTTTAAGATGCACATTCTGCATACTCGGTACACATGATACGTACATAACTATGTAGGCAACTTTGAGAAGTGTCTGTATAGGTTCTGTCATACTGCACGGATTTATACGTAGCTGTTTATTCTGAGGCAAAAGCTTTGGCTAGACTACATGCTGCATGTGTATTCACAAATCACACCACTATAATGACTATGTCTTTTTCACATGATTACACCTTCATCATCTAAGTCTAGTCTATCTTTCATGGGTTCAGGTGGCCGGAGGAAACTAAACAGAGTGACGTCAGTGGGTGACCTGAGGTTCACAGACAATGGGTCCACGGAGAGAGGAGGGGGAGGGAGGGTGTCGGGGTCCCTGGAGAGAGGGAGGGGGCGGAGCTCGGCGGACGAGAGTCGGGCCGGTTCGCGGGGCTCCAGCCACAGGGGGGAGAGTGGGGGAGGGAGCAGTAGCGGAGGAAGCGGGGCTAGGGGAAAGGTCTCCTCCGGATCTTCTGACGGCCACCACAAGGTAACCACCACACTACATACATTAGTATCTGCTATTTTTAAACTTTACGGTTTTGAGTTTCATTCTTTCATGACCTGAAACTGCAAGACTGATGCCACTTACTGTAACTGTTGACAGAAGTGGCGAACGCAAGTGTGTATTAGTTCACTTATGACTCAGGACATGCATGTTAAATGCACCTATTTGCTGCCTACATTTCACCACAGAAGAGCCTCTTTCTTCTTGTGTACGTACATACATATGATACTCTGCTCTATGTTTCACCAGCTGCGGAAGTTGAGTTCGTCAGAGTCCAGCGGCCGTCCCCTGTCCACGTCAGTCCTGATCAAGGACGAGGACCCCAGCTACATCCACAACAGTCTCAACCTCCACCTGGACCTGGAGGTCTTCAGCAAGGAGAGGGGAGAGCACTTCAAGATGATCTTCAAGGTGAGCACGCCACAATGATGCTTATTTGACACAGTGAAGTCAATCCTGATAGCGAAATAGTGTATGAAAAGAAGCAGTTGTTCAATGCCCCATCACCGGTCAGTATAATTTTATGTACAATCCAGATGATAGATATGTTTCACACCAATCAGTCATCTGAATTCAATCCTGTGTGTTTATGCATATAGTGTAAAACTTGAGGAAGAAAGACTTTTTAACTACGTATCTTGGTTTATGAGCCTTCCATTTCATTTTGCTGCCACGGGACATTTGTGTCACATTGCCATAAACCATCAAAACTTGCTATAACCAAAACACAAACGTTTTCTCCCTCGAAAGACTATATTTCATTGCTGTGTTGTCAACTCGTCTCCAGGCACCTGTTGTGAAATACAAGTCCAAGAAAGAGGTCCCTGTGGTCGCCATCTTCTCCAATATCAACACCTTCATCTACCGCATCACCGCCCCACAGAGGTTGGCCAAGTCACAATATATTCTTACTATAACTGTAATAATGTGTACCCTTCACCTGCATCTTTATGCATCTACATTGAATAAGTGACACAACTTTGGGAGACGTCTGATAATTTATTTTAGAGATATCCCTCAATACACTAATGTCAAGTGTCCGAGGTGCCCTTGTGATCCCTTTCCATTGTACAAAGTTCATGGGTGCAGTATGTGTGCGTATACTACTCCAAGTGTGTGAAATGGATGGCTGAGAATTACTAAGTGTCTCTCTACTTGGAAGCGCACAGTGTTTAGTACTGTAAGCCTGTACAATACCATCATAACAAGTTACCACTTACTTTCACTAACAAACCTGACTGATATGTTTCCAACCAGTGCCCAGCCAGACAAGTGGCTGTCCCTGCAGCAGACGCTCCCGCTCTCCAAGCTGGTCTATCTGGACGTGGGTCCGTTCCACCAGTTCCTGCGCCTCGAGTTCTCGATCCCCGAGTCCTGTTTCACCTTTCTCCTCCGAGACAAGAGCAAGTGCAGAGAGTGCCTCACGCGACTCTCCAGTAAGATTCACGTGCACCATCTCCTGCAGGAGTCCTAGTGGGTGGGTGCACGACAATGCGTAAACCATTAGGTGAACGAGAATCCATACTGTTAATGAAACAACAAACCCGGTATATGTACAACAGAATGTGTTTACCAGGTGTTCAATTTAGGAGTACAACTGATCCTTCCCTGATATTTTGTGTTAATGTTAAAATCAGGTGCTATTAGTTTATCAGGTGGCCATATTTTTTGTGTACAGAGCTCAGCATCCTTTTTCTCTTGGCATCACATGGTATTTTCTACATGTGTACAACTCACAGAAAAGGATGTGGTATTAGTTTTGTTTGGGAGAGGGACATTGCACCCTCACAGGAATTGACCCTAAGCTAGAAATGTGTAGATGCTCTTTCACAGCCATGGCCAAATCCCAAGGTCACTCTGCGACCTTTGGCTGTCATAGGAACCAAGCAATTAGAGTACATAATTAACCACTTCCTTAGAGCAGGCAATTAGAGTACAGAATTCACACTTCATGCTCGAAATTTTGACTTAAACTTTGTTGTTTACAGGGTTGATCGGAGCATACATATTTAAACCTCGGCGCGCATGCGCAGCGTGAAGGTCAGAATGTTTGTGCTGTTTTCTCTGAAAGTGCTCCGTTGCAAAGCTGGAGCGCTTCAAGCATTGTACGGCTAATGCGTAGTCAGCCATTTTTATCGCTGCGTTAAATGCGCATGCGGTTATTATGCTAATTCAACCGGGCCTGCTTGCTCTGTGTATCTTGAAGGCACAAGAAGCCACCATGAAGGGCATGTATCGATTCCTGCATGCTATCTACTACTATAGCTAGCTCGTGTCAGACTCTCTGCGGGCTACTAGCGGGAGACCACCACAAAATAGCCCAGCCCATCAATTAGCAGTACCGCACATGCGCAGTTCGTCGAGGGTTTGCACTGTAGTGCTATCTTGCGAGTGTGTGGCCCCCAAGAAAATTTTCTTGCCCATCCCTCTTTGTTGACCAGAACAAGCACGTACAACTACAGTATATACCATTTCTATTTCAGTGGTTGTGTCAGATACTCCAAAGTCGTCGTTTAAGAGTGTTGGGATATGTCCATTTCGTCTGGAGACCATCTCTCATCCTGACAGAGCACTGCGAGAGGCTATCATGGTGAGTCGCCCCCTGCCTAATTAACTATGTCACCAATGCATCTTGAAATACAGATAAAGCATTGAATTAGTGCATACATACTAGCATGGGGCATTGAATCAGTGCAAACCCTCGACGAACTGCGCATGCATGTACGATGTAAAATAGCTAACTATGCTACCAATAATTATGTTCTGATAGAGCATTGAATTATTAATACATGCATACATAGGTAAATAGCTACCATGTGTCCTCATAGAGCATTGCTTCATTTTGTTTCACCGCTATACATTTGCATGTTGTATTATGTATAAGCATAGGAGAGGGAGTGACAAAGGTCAAATCTTTACCCATTGCAGTCTCGCTACAACCACATCAAGACAGCCTCACCGAGGTCTCGTGGGCCGAGGGAGGACCACCAGAGACCCAGAGAGAGTGACGACGAAGACATAAAGTTCTATGTCCTGGCTCACAGACACATCCACACTCCCGAGAAGAAACACAGTGGGTGGAGTTTCTCTTTCACTGCATAACGTGTAAATTAGGTTATGACTACGAAAGCACTGACATGGTTAACCGATATTGAATTCCACACTCAAAAACCCTGTGATTAGTAATTGGCGGCAAAGGAAGGCCATTTAGTTGACCTAAATTGTTACTTTTTTACATTATTTCACACCGCACATGTTCGAACATCACTGTATGTCACATATGGTACAGTATTCATGCATATGTATGTACATGAAGGTATTAGACCATGTGATGCCATGAGAAAAAATGGTGGAGCTCTGGACAGCTGTTTCGGGCTTGTTGGGCCTCATCAGCAGAGCATACCCCAACTTCTCTCTCTGGCATCACGAGTTTTGGACTGTTTAAACCTGCCCAAATCCCTTCCTGTGGTATATACACAGATTTCATTTAGAAGGCTAACTGGGGATATCATGCATCACAAAACATGGCTAGCGTGACTTGCTGTATAACCAAGCACATCTTGTTATTCTCACTGCAGGCAAGGTCCCTGTGACAGTGGTGGTAGCTGGAGATGTCATCTACATGGCTCAGGAGAACTTCCACCACTGGCCACTGCCAAGACTCCAGGAACTGCCCCCCAAGGAGGCCCTGGACCCCCCATTCTCCTCCGTGGAACGTAAAGACATCAATGACATTGAACAGATTGTGAGTTGTAGTGAGCAAGCTAAGTCTACTTGACTTCACCTGAGCCATCGAAAAATTGTCATAACTCCTTAATTTTGTGTCCAATTGTAAAAACGCTAAACACCATTGGAGTCCTCGCAACTTTTCCATTCTGATGATTTGCTTCACTGCATTCTAAACCGTATTATCAGTTAAAAGTTAGCTGTATGTCCCATAAGAAAAGTATGCCATAGGTAAAGTACTGCAGTATATGTACCTGTATAAACAGTTTACACAACAAGATTTAGATTGTGTTATGTCCTCTTCCGGTTGGAGTAAGGTCATTGATGGTCTCTTTTCGTCATTAGGTCTTGACAAGGCAGAGTGGTTGCATGATATTCAAAATGGGGATTGCTCCTTGAAGGGCTTTTTGTCTATAATAGGGGACAGTATTAATGAGAGGAAGATTAGAAAGTTTGAAGAGGGGCTAAAATAGCAAAGTAAAGCTGTTATTGTATAAGACATTTAACAAGGTGGTAGAGTTCAAAAAGTACTTGCATGGGAAAAGTGATGCTGGATCTAGATTAATGTTTAAGTTCAGGTCAGGCACGCATGGGCTAAATGAGGAACTGGGCAGGCATAGGGGGAGGGAGGGGGTGAAAGAGTGCCTGTTGTGTGATGATGAGTGTGAAAGTGTGAGTCATGTGTTGTGGGAGTGTCCAGCATATAGTAGTCTTAGGAGCAATTTCTTAGTTGCCCTGCAGGGGAAGCTTGGGGATGATGGGTTTGAGCATTTCCAGTCGCGTGATAGTTTCAGGAAAGCATCCTTTATATTGGGTAGTGAACTGTGGGAGGATAATTTTGGTTCTTTGCTTGGCCTTTTAAAGATTTTATTTTGGATGTTTGGGAGCTAAGAAAGGTTAGGTTATACGGCGATAGTCCCTGTGTACAACAAACCCAGTCTCAGATTGCGTCTGGGGAGCTGCAGGGTGTCGCTGGTGGAAGGGGTGAGTTGAGGTGTCTGGGAGGTGAGACAGACACCTCATGTTCATATGGTGTATGTTCGTGTGTTAACGGTTCCGCCCATTGCTCTGGGTGCGTGGTCTATGGCCCTAGTGCTATGGCAGCCACCTGAGTATTATATATATATATATATATATGTCCTCTTCCCACACAGACAATGGATCCAGATCAGACCTGTAGGGTGGTGCTAAGATTTTTCAAAGAGGTTATTATTATCTTTGCTACAGTCTACAGTTTTAAACCGTAATTATATCACCTTAGTTTTGTAGGCCTGTATGTTATGCAAAGGAACATGTTATGCAAAGGAATGGGGCACAAGCAAGCTAATACTTATGTAGCATGATAATTTTTATGCGAATCTTACGCCACAGGAAGACCAACTATAGAAGAGTACTGTTAAAGGGAATGTGGCGGTGTATTAAAAATACATAAAGGTTACATGTTAGCAACGTTACCAAATATCATTAGGGCCCGGTGATGTACATTTCTAAATTTAACCCTTATACCTACCACACTCCCATAATAGACGAGTGCGGTTAGACCTCACTGTTATGATGCCCTCAGTCATTCACAACTCCTCATCTCTCCACGCAGACACTGTCAGAGGGAGAGAGCAAGTACTGGAGTCTAACGACAGAGGTGGACACCCACGTCCAGCAGCTGGTCAAGGCCATCCAGACTCCATGGGAGTCCATGTTTGAGACCACGCTGCCTATCAACTATAAATAACATCTCTTTTGTCGCACATGATCACTGCCCAAATCAATAATTATCTATCATCAAAGTAATAATATTTATCAGCTTTACATTTCCTGGATTGGTTTGTACAATTTGTATAATTATATGTATGTATGTAATGCAGATGTGAATGTCTATGTTTATTCATTGACAAATTTAATATTCACGACGGAAGGTGATGCCAGAAGGCGCCAGAATCCGCCCGCCAACCCCTCTGTTTTGCTCAGGTCTCCATAGAAGCGCTGGTAAACTAAGCGTGGGAACTGCAGCCAGGCAGTGCTAGCTCACTAGCTATATAGGCACGGATTGCAAGAACTTGTACTTTCCCTGCTACCGTTCCTCTACATGCGCCGATGATGGTTCATATTATAGAGCGTCGTGTGGGAGGCGTGAAGCTAGCTTTGACTGCAAAAATCTGGTTTCTACTCACCTTCATTCAATCGTCACAAGGTAAAATTGATGTAGCTAGAGTCCACCGGTATCAACGTTAGAGAAAGCCGCAAGGCGAGCCCCACCCCTTTTTCTGCCGCGGGGCGGCACAGTGGCAGAGGAATGACGTTTCATTCTGGTCGCGTACAGGGTTTCCTCTGGCGTCGTGGGACCTGGATCTGGACAGTGGGAGAGTGGAGCTACAGGCCGGAGGTGTCCCGGGAATCAGCCCTTCAAGCACAGTAGACTGCACCAAGTTTACCTTGACTTCTAACCTCATGTGAGTGGTGATAATAGAGGCGAAAGGCGGACTGATAAATGTAAGGCCTATGTACATGCGAATTGGGGTCACTGAATACTCCCAGCAACAATTATTATTATCCCTACAGATAGCTTAACCACATTGCATACTTGTCAAAAATTAGGCCACCTTTAAAAAGCAAAAGGCATAAACTTTATCACTGTAAGTACTGGTACTAGATCCTACTGCAGTACCCGGACATGGTGTAGCAGCCGTATTTTTTCACATCACTGGTTAAGCCAAAAGAGATTCTCTTTTTACTGATCATAAAAGGGTGAGGTGCACTGCCAGTAGCACCTGCATGCAGTGAGTATAGCAGAGTTGTGCACACACAAAAAAGGGCTAGGCTGATCCAACAGCGGCTCAGCGGGCAGTAGCTCTTGATAATAGTCACTTATAGACATGGAGCAACCACCATAGTGAATACATGGGTACCAAGAATAATGGTCTACTTGGCCTTCGTAATGCGTGATACATAAAACTGATTCTTAGTGGTCATGGAATTGAAGGTTGAACCAAAATATTGTACCAGGAACTTTTCGGGGTAACTACATCAAAACATTCTGCGAAACATTTTTCCGCAAAATTGTTGAATCAAATTTTTTTTCCTAAAAAGTGGTTGATCCATGCTTACATACTTGTGATATCGAACTAGCATTTTTGTTCTGATGATTATCAAGGCAGTCTGAATAATCATTGGTGGGGTGTTTCGCATTCTTGAAATGTACTGTTGTACATAATTATATATCTTCGGAGCTGCTCTACCAGCCATTAAGAATTATTTGCTAAGTCTATAGTAGAGCTGGGAGAAGCATAGCTAGATCTCCTAGCCTACCATTATATTTTATTGAAAAGATACGACACCTATACTCCAGTCCCATTCACTGTTACATTACCGCTCTGTACTCATATAGTGAAACTTGATACCCATGTCCTAACTATTGTTTTCGGGGGATAATTGTCGAATTTAGCGCAGTTGAGGCATTGTTCGAAGCTCAAGAGCAAGTATGCCAAGTGGCTGTTATATGGTGCCAGAGCTTTATATACTCTTTAGAGAATAAAAACTCAAGCATCGTAATGCTACCAGCCAAGTACATACTGACTTAGCGCCAAGTGTGGTATAAATAAGCCATGTCTCTAGTGAAGTATACAACCATTCTTTTTTTGTCCCTAGGTGCATGTCGGATCTTTGGCCCAAGTGTCATAAGAAATATGTTTCATACTCCAAATTATGTAACTTATCCAGTAATCTTCTTTGGCATATTATGCAGGTGGAAAGGTAGCTAGGATAGAGCTTTCAGCACGATCTGTAGAAGAGATAGGCTTTGAGTTTTTATGAAAAGCTAGCTCCCTGTAAAGCCAACCCCATCTCATGCCCTGAGATAGTTTAGGTTGCTGGGCACGGCTAACAAATGCCAGTAATTACCCTTGGCCTGCATACCTAGAGGGTCATGGTACATGGTTCATAAGTCGGTCTGTCTCTCTGTCTGTCTGTCTGCCTGCCTATCTATCCACCACTAAACTAATCATCTCATGCTATGACAAGCGCTAACAAGGAATACTAGCTTAAAATTTTTCCTTCTTTTTTGCGACTTAGCTACACACACTGTGTTGTCAATCTTGGATGACACACATCAGTAGTGAAAATGTTCACAACATTTGCATTCCTCTACTCTAGCCTAGCAGTCTATACAGATACAGGTTCGATTTATACTTGGTTTGTATTTTTTTATCAATGATCATACATCAAACTGCATGTAACCTGTATGTAATCTGTGCAGTCCCTTGCTTTGCGGCCATCGCACCAGCACAAGCGTATTGCTCGGTGCTATCACTGGCATCAATGGTTTTGTACTTTAGTTCTTTTCGTTTGAATTTCTACTGCTGCAGATAAAGCATGAGTTTTCTCGCTCTATCATGAACCAGATTCATGAGGGGGAGCATTATAGCGGGCAAAAAATTGTTGAAGCTAACTACACTGAAAAGCACAGAAGTGAAAAACCTCGTCAAACATTATTTGCGCACATGTACATATTGCTGTGCATATACACATCAAATGGTATACTGCCGTGTTATGGATCACATACGTGTTGTATTTGGTTTACAGGGAGAATGATGCTTTTACTCTGGAAGGCTGCACCGATATTGCCATACAGGGCTTTAGAATAGCGTTTGACCTTACACCATCTGACTTGGTGTTTGTCAAACTAGATCGGAACTTGGCCACCTCTCGCGATACCAGCTTTTTGCTTGTAGAGTCTGGCAATGGAATTGAAAGCAGTTCCAACCCTTTAGACTTCCTCGCTCCCACCACTGTGGTTGTCCAGGCCGATAGCTACACGCGAGATTCCACCAGGCCTCAAGTGACGCCAAACGGCTTCCAAATGTTTGATCTCGACGTGGGCATATTTACTCTTCAGTTTTCAGAGCCAGTGAATGCTACAGCTCCATTTATTGATACCACATCTTTGTCGTTTCAGCACCATTTTAACTCAACCAGTGAGGAGGATATTTTCCAGGTGGAGTCTCTATCTTGTCCTGAATGTGTTGATGGCAGTATAGTCACCTTAACATTCCCTCCTAATGAGCTCAACAGGTTGAAGCTGTCAGAGAGGGTGTGTAGCTCAGCTTCCAACTGCTGGTTGACTGTGCAATCTCCTGGGAGTGTCATTACTGACATGGCAGGAAACAACTTGGTAGAACTGCCTAATACCGATCGAACTTTGACGCGATCCCTAATATCATTTGTTGACGACACAACCGGTCCGGTTTTAACAGACTTTGTCCTAAACTTCACCTCCAGGGAGCTTCTCTTGACTTTTGATGAGCCTGTTAGTTTGTCCACGTTTGACCCCACTGGTCTAACATTTGTGGCTTTTGTGGGTGCTACCAATATGGAGGAGACCTACCAACTCACAGGTGGGACTATTCTTTCCCCTGAGGGTGCAGAAGTAAGGTTAGCTCTCTCAGCTGACAACGTGAATGGGCTGCAGTCACGACCTGATCTTGCCAATGACATCAGTGATACATGGATAGTTGTGTCAGCCTATGCAGCATCTGATGTTACTTACCAGCAAACCAGGGCACAAGAGGTAGCTGTTCAGGCAGGTCTTGTGGTACCTGATCAGGAACCTCCCGTTTTTTCTGCATTCGACATTGATTTCAACGACAACACAATGCGTCTACTGTTCAGCGAGCCGGTAACAGTCTCCTCCGTACAACTTACACAGCTAACAGTAGTCTCGTCACGCTCTCTGGCACCACTGGTGAGTTATAGCATAACTGGTGGTGATATACACCCCACTCCACTGGCTGCATCTGCTGAGGTGGTGTTCAACCTCACAGAAGCAGACATAGCCTTTCTCAAGGGGAGCGTTGGTATTGCAACAAATTCGAGCGACGTGTTCCTGGTAACTGGGGCAGGTCTTGGTGAAGATACAAGTGGTACACCCAACCTGGCCACTGATTCTGTCTCAGCTGTGGGGGCAAGAAACTTTGAGGCTGACGTGACGCATCCTGAGCTCCTCTCATTCACCCTGGACATGGACAATGGGGAAGTGGTGTTGTCATTCTCAGATGTCGTCGATGCTACGACATTTGATGTGAGTGGGCTCACGTTTCAGGGGCAGAATAACAGGGTTCCCCTCGAGTGGCACACCCTCTCAGCTTCCTCTTCCACTGCTTCAAGTGCTAACTCATTTTCTGTAACAGTGTTTCTTGGTGGCGACGACCTCAACAGGATGAAGCAGATAAGAACCCTGGCCACGTCTGAGGATGACACCTATCTGACAGTCAGTGCTTTTCTGGTAGATGATCTTGCAGGTACTGACCTCACAGCCATTACTGACGGGAAGGCTCTCCAGACTATTAGGTTCAGGCAGGATGCACAGGCTCCGGTCCTGGAGCGTTGGACCCTAGACATGGACCAGAGCCAGCTCATCCTCACCTTCTCGGAAGTGGTCGACATTTTAACGCTCGACGTGACCCGCATTCGTCTCCAACCCATCCAGAACACGGTGTCGGGATACCCACTCACAGGCTACGATCAGCTTATCCCTGCTGACGCTGGGACGTGTGGTAGCCATACAGCTCTCCAGGGCCGACTCCAATGCAATAAAGTTAGACACTGGTCTTGGTACAGGCGACCACGACTCTTATCTTTCCCTGTCTTTTAATGCTGTGGACGACATGAATTCGAACGCTATTGTTGCTATTCAGACTAGCAATGCACTGCAGGTAGGCGACTATTATGTAGATGAAACCGATCCTCAGATAGAGTCGTTTGATCTGGACCTCAACCTGGGACTCTTGAGCCTGTATTTCGATGAAACCATTATTGCCAGTACTTTCAATGTTTCAGGGTTGACATTGGTAAACAGATTCTCGCTACCTACTGTGTCGTACACTCTTTCGAGTAGCACTCACGCAACAGAGGATAGTGATCAGATTGTAGTGACACTCTCAAAAACTGATCTTGATTCCATCACTGCTCGAACAACACTGGCCACAGGTTTAAGCTCTGCATTTTTAACAGCCACGATCTACACTGTCAGGGACAAGACACAGAACAGGCTCATGGAAGTACCTGCTTCATCTGCAACCAATGTCAATACCTTCACACAGGATGCGACTAACCCTGTTCTGGAATCCTTCTCTCTTGATGTAAGCAATGCTGAGTTGAGCCTAACATTCAGTGAAAGTGTCCTGGCCACTAGTCTCATGCCAACTGAAATAGCTCTCAGTAATGGGGGTGAATCCCTGTTACTTAGTGGTGGGACCCTTGCCAGTACAGAAGCCGGTACATCGGTCACACTGATTCTGAGTGAGGAAGATCTAAATGAGCTCAAACTAAATACCGGTCTTGGTACAACAGTAGACAATACGTTCATTTCCCTTACGTCAAGCGCGGTGACGGATCCAGCATCCAACCCTGTCACTCCAATTAATGCTCTTCAAGCTTCGAGTGTAGTTCGGGACAATGTTCCTCCAACTCTGGAGAGTTTCAGTCTGGATCTTGATGAACGCACACTCTCACTCACGTTTGACGAGCCCATTCTGGCCGGATCATTCAGCATTGTCGGGATCTCTCTCCAAGATGATTCCTCACTGCCCACTCAGTCTGTGACTCTCACCAGGTTCAGTACCATTCCCACCACATCAAACGGTCTTCAGTTTATCATAGAGCTCTCAGACGTCGACTTCAATGCACTCACAGCCTCGTTTCCACTGGCAACAATGGAAACCAATACCTTCATCACACTATTGGGAGGAACAGTGAAAGACATGCAGGGCAACAACAATGAGGAACTACCAACAGACAATGCCCTGCAGGTTACAAGTCACGAGGAGGACAGAATGCGACCAATATTTTCTTCGTTTGACCTAGATCTCAATCTCGGTATCCTCACAGTGGTGTTCTCTGAATCTGTCAATGTCACGTCATTTGACCCCACCCGGGTCACGCTTCAGAGCTCTTCATCTTCTCCATCTCATTTCTTTACATTGACTGGTGGTCTCGTGTCACAGGATGTGATTACTACAATCGATGTCGATCTCCAGGTGGCTGACTTGAACATACTCAAACAAACGTTGGGTCTTGCATCCACTGGTGCCGATACATATATAAGCTTTACAAGTGGCTTGGTTGAGGACATGAATGGAAATCCCGTAGAGGCTGTAGGCATGCAAGAAGCAGAAGCTGTGACTTTGTTCACTGAGGATACGACCTCTCCGAGGTTGGTGACATTCAATATGGATTTCAACAGTGGGATAGTTACAATTGTTTTTGATGAGACTGTCGATCTGAGCACAATTAATCCTTCAGCCATTACATTCCATGACGGGAGTGGAGAGTTAATCCAGAGCTCACACACCCTGTTCAACAGTACAATACTTGACTTTGGCTTATACACATCAACCAGACTGCAATTGGGGATTAACGACTTGAATGAACTCAAACGCTTACGTATCTGTACTACAGAAGAAGCGTGTTACCTCACATGCACCAGCACCCTAGTCTTGGACACAGCCATAGACAGTAATGCAAACGAGCCAATTCTTTCTACCATACCTCGTTTGGCTCTGAGCTATGTAGCTGATACTACTAATCCACGTGTGGCAGCATACTCAGAGTTCGATCTAAATCAGGGTGTTATAACTCTGCAGTTTTCCGAGACAGTTGATCATGCTAGTCTCAATCAGTCAGTGATGGTGCTTCATGGTACATATGTGAATGCCACTCATGAATTCTCTCCCCTTCAATTGACATCACTGAGTGGTGATGGTCCCACTATTTTACTTGGCTTAGGGCCAGATGATCAAAATAGACTCAAACTGAACACTGAACTGTGCACACGTAGTGAAAACTGCTGGATACGTTTCGGGAGTGACTTCTTGGCAGATGTCAATGGAAACCCCATTGAGCCTATCGAAGTGGATACCATAAATGCCTTCCATAGGCCATCCAACTTTGTTCCTGACACCACACCTCCCGAACTACTTTCATTCAACATCGACCTTGACTCAGGAGATATGACTTTCACATTCAACGAAGTAGTTCGGCTGTCAACTTTTGATCCGACTGCCTTTGTCTTCCAGGACAACCATCTTTCTAGCTCATATGTGAGCCTAAGAGAGAGGGGCTTATTTTACAGATCGACAGACGGACTTCAAGTCAATTGGACTATGACAAAGGGCGACCTGAATTTGCTTAAATCTTATGAGCTAGTCTTTGCATCTTTCGACAGTTCTTACCTAACCTACAGTAATCTTACCATTGCTGACGTCAGTCTGGTTGGGCTTCAGCCTAGAATAGATGGTGTGGATGCTCTGCTTACTTCAGGGTTCACACCAGACACGACAAGACCTCAACTAGAAGGGTTTACTCTCTTCAGTCTTGACAATGGCTCCATGATACTCCAATTCAGTGAACCTATCAACATATCAGCCATCAGCGTGAGTGAAATTGCCATTGCCAATTCATCTGCCCTAGACCTTAGAATCTATGATCCTGTGAATGTCAATGCCTGGATATCCGTACTCTTTGAGAATGGGTCTGTCTTCAACCTGACACACACATTTCACCCCGGAGAGTATATACTCACTTGCCCAGAGGGTTTCCTACTAAAACCAACTGATCCTCCTCCAATGCCACAGCCAACACCCCTTGCCATGCAAGGGAATACCTCTGGATCAGGGAGTGGAAGTGGAGGCAGTGGCAGTGGCAGTGGGCAAATGAACAACACTGATACAATGGAAATGGAGGATGAAATGGAGACTGAAATTGTTGTCGAAGAAGTACCTTTCTATCCACTGCCCTTGCGCGGGTGCATACTCTATGAAAATGTAAGCAAAACTGAGCCATTTCATTTCTTTGGTGGTGGAGATCTTACTTATGTTGACAAGCGAAAGCAGCAGATAATGCTCAACTTTACTCGTAGTGACCTCCGCTACTTCAAGCTGGCTGGTTACATAGCTGAGAGTGACCTAGACACATGGGTTGCATTCAATGAGAGTGCGTTCTTGGACATGTCTGAGAACGAAGTGATTCCTTCTAACCTCTTTGATGCCACGAAGGTAAACAACGGTGGCTTTGAACATGATGTAACTCCACCCACCTTCGAATTTTTCATCCTGGATCTAAACAATGATATTATTTCCCTTTACTTTGATGATGTCATGGATTTTCAGTCAGTGGATCCAAAACTCATTACCATATCAGAATTTGAAGGTAGCAACAACTCATACACTCTCAAGGGTCCCTATGATTACCCCAAGCCACAGTCAACCATTGACCAGCAAGATGACTTTGTCATTTCGATACCCCTTGCATTTGATGATTATAACGCCATAAAGGCCAATCTCAACCTTGCCACTGATATTTCTAATACTTACATCACTTTTCCTTCCACAATAGCTTCTGATATCTACAGTAGATCACGTATTGCACAAGGGGCACCATATCCAAGTGAAATCCAAGCATTTCGTGTCATTCCCGACACCACTGGAGCAATACTTGTTAATTTTACGCTGGATTTGAACACACACGAACTTACCCTCAATTTCAATGAAGTTGTAAATCCAGCCACCTATACACCTGTTCACATCACTATACAGAATGCTGAAAACTCTTCCAATCTGACATTGGTACCAGTATTTGAAAGCCACACACTCATCAATGGTGTACCGACTGTCAATGACACCATGATTTCAACCGTGATTATTCAGTTGGATACAGATGCAAGTGCCCTCAAGATCCAGTCCAACCTCTCAAACACAAGAAACGATACGTTCATCACAATCGAAGAGGGGGCATTTCTTGACTCCAGTGACAACCCCAATCAGGAAATAGCTGACGGTGTGGCTCTTCAGGCCTGGCGTGTAGTTGAAGACATCACTCCACCATACTTGGAGTACTACGACCTCAATATGACAGCCAACACACTGACAATGAAGTTTTTTGAGGCTGTTCGTCAGTTTGACCCATCAGGCATCACACTGTGGAGCAGTGAATTCACTCACGAAGAAAGCCTACAACTCAGCACTAATTCCGTGTTGGAGTTTGTCGATTTCAGTGCAACAGTCATTGTTCATTTTACAGAAGAGGATGAGAATTACTTGAAGAGACCAGAGAGCATAATTGCTACATCCGTTAACACCAGTTTCCTTACTCTGGACAGTTCAACCGCCGCTGTTGACTATGTGGGGCTTGAAGTGGTGGAGATTCAACCTGAAAGACTGCAAGTCCGATTCTTTTATGAAGGTATGCAAATTTCGTGTGTGTTTGTAATAGTTCATTCTTCCTCATTGCATAGTTAACTTTGTTTCTTGCTCATTTCAAAGTGTTATTTTCTCCACACAGATCTCACATGTATGGGCCTAATGGCATCAGAGTACATCAATGATACAACTCTGCCAGAACTACGCGAGTTTACCATAGACATGGACAGTGGGGTCTTTGTCTTGACGTTCTCTGAAACGGTCAATATCTCCACCTTCAATCCAACCAACCTCACACTGATTGACACAGCAGCCCCTGAACCACTCATCCGCTACCGGATTAGGAATCCTGGGACATTGTTTACAGATGATGACAGCCCCATCATTGAATTCCGGCTTGACGATGAGGACCTGAATGCTATTAAACTAGATACTGGTCTCTACTCAGCCCTGGCCACAGCGTTCATCAGCCTTACACCTGATGCTGTCATCGACATGTCAGACAACCTTATCTTTGCTGTAAACTTCAGCCATGCAATACGGGCATCTGAGTACACATTCGATGAGACTCCACCCATTCTTGAGAATTTCGAACTGGATTTGAACTCGAGTAGAATTATTCTCTCATTTGACGAGGCCGTGAACCTACTCAACTTCAACCCGGCTGTCATTACTCTTCAGAATGCCTACGAGAATGCCACTAGAAGCTACACACTGGAGGGTGTGAGAGCGTCTGAGACTGTGAGTGCCCTTGGCAGGGTTGTGACCTTCTCGCTGACACAGAATGACCAAGATAACCTTAAGGCCTACACGGACTTTTCCAGCAGCCCAAACAACACCTTCCTAACTGTCACAAGTGGACTAATTACAGATGTGAGTCGACTAAACAACATGAACAATGCAATAAATGAATCTGAACCACTGACAGCACGAGAGATTCACACAGACAGAATACCTCCCCTGTTGACAAGGTTTCGTGAGTTTAACCTCGGCTCTCGTAGTTTCATACACTTGTCTTTTCAACGAGCCAGTTAATGTATCATCGGTAATGTTTGAGAGTATAATCATCCTTGCTACTCCAGGCAGTTCAAATAACCACAGTCTCATAAATGGCACTGCAACTTATGTCGAGGGTTCACTTAACAAAGACATTGAAGTCGAGCTCTCTCTTGAAAGCATTCTGGCGATTAAACTCAACACAGACCTGGCCACAATGACTGACAGGAGTGACACGTACCTTGCTCTGCTGGCTGGAGCCATTCAGGACCAATCTGGGAATGATATTCTCACATCTGATACTCTGCAGACTGAGATCTATGTTGGAGACACAGATGGGCCACAGGCATTAGGGTTTGTCCTCAATATGGATGATGGTACCCTACTGTTGTCATTTAATGATGTTGTCAATGTGGATACATTTGATGTGACGGGAATTACTATCCAGGCAGATATCGATGGCAGAGCTGTGAATGACTTTGTTCGGTTTGATGCGCCTCCGACGTTCATGTCAACTACCAGTCCAAATGGGCTTCAAATACTTGTCAACATCCCGATAGAAGGTTTGGATTTGATAAAGGCCAATGAACAGCTTGCAATCAGCCGGGAAACTTCCTTTCTTGTCATGCTAGCCAGTACCATTGATGACCTAGCAGGGAATCCAGCAATTCCATTTGTCCGTGAGAATGCCCTGCCTGCTTCTGGTTACATTGAGGACATGACTAGACCAGAGCTTGTAGCCTTTGAGCTGGATATTGATGGGGCTGGTGCTCTCACCCTGACGTTTTCCGAAGCCGTTGTCCAACAGAACCTAGACCCCACAGAAATTGTTCTGGTCGGCGACAACAATGAGAGCTATGTGCTAACGAGCCAAAATTTCATCACATTTCCACCTCTACCGTCCTTTACCATCGTTTTGGGGGGAGTGCTTAACACCGTCGTCACTCCAGACCTGAATAACATCAAGGCACTTGCAAATCTGGCATCGACAGAGAGCAATGTAAACATTACCATCTCACATTTGGCGGTGAAAGACACAAGTGGCAATAACGTTTCTGAGATCCTGAATATTCCTCTACGCATCAATAGCGAAGGGTTTACCCCTGATATTACCCCACCAGAATTAAGTGCCTTTGCTCTTGACATGAATACTGGAGTACTTAATCTGACATTCTCAGAAACGGTCAATGGTTCGAGCTTCACTCCGAATGCCATCACAATTCGCAGTAGCCAAGAGTTTGAGGCATCTGCACACACCCTACGTGGAGGAACATGGGAACCTCTTTACAGGGATTTTGTCGAGCTAAGTCTCGACATAGACGACCTGAATGAAATCAAACGGATCCTTGATCTCGCCAACAGTCAAGACACAACTTATATATCGTTCACCGGGGAAATGGTGCGTGATATGAGCAGTGGAGTGAGTGAATCTGAAAGAGAGAGCAATAATGTCGTCCCAATCGAACTGTTTGAAGCTGTTGCGGCTAGTGACTACGAAATTGACAGGACAAGCCCAAAGCTAGTCTCATTCTCTCTCAACTTGACTGATGAAACTTTGATGTTGACCTTCGATGAAACAGTCAATGCATCGAGTCTCCAAATAGACCTCATCACACTCATTTCTTCAGGAGGAGGAAGAGAGCAACAGGACGAGGAAGAGAGCAACACGACAAGTACCATCTCTGGTTCTGGCTCAGGAGAAGTGAGTGGGTTATGGATCTGGTTTCGAATCAGGATCTGGTGACCGTATGTATGAGCTGACAGAGACAGTACAACTGACAAATCTCACAGTAGGCAGCCAGAACTCTAGCTATTCTACCAGCCCTGATGGAACAGTTATCACCATCCAGCTAGGCAGAGACGACCTAAACAGCCTCAAGGTCCAAGTTGGGCTTGCAACATCTCCAAACAACACATACATCTTTTTCCCCGAGGATCTCGTTGCAGATACCTCTCTAAATATACCAGCCAATCTCGTTGTGCCGATTGCACCAGAAGAAGCATATCAAGTTGATGCCTATTACAATGACTTTGTCGATCCAGTGCTAGAGCGATTTGACCTCAATCTCTCCAGTGGGTACCTCGACCTGACATTCTCAGAGGTTGTTAATGCCTCTTCAATCAACCTCACTGTTATTACCCTTCAGGGTACCTTTGATACTGCCTTAGACCCGACAGCTGATACATGGTCACTGACAGTTGGGTTGAATGGGAGCATAGCATCTCAGGAGGATGGAACGGAAATGAGGGTGGCCCTTGGCTGGACTGACCTGAATGAGATCAAGAGACTAACTGGCTTGGCCACGGCCAGCAGTGATACTTACATCACTCTCTCCAGTGCAACAATTAGGGACATGAATGGCAATGCCGTGGTGCCTCGTGTAGATGGTGATAGCTCGCTTCCAATTGCCTTCTTCACTGCTGACACTATAAATCCAAGTCTTCACACCTTCAACTTGGATGTAAACAGTGGGATACTAACACTTGAATTTACCGAGACAGTTCTAGCCACGTCACTAAATGTGACGCAAATTACTTTGCTGTCTTCTACAAATCTAACTGACTTTGAGTATCACACCCTCTCATCTGGTTCCGTGACAGAGAGTAGTGATAGCACCACCATTGTTATAGACCTGAGCCGATACGATCTAAACCAAATCAAATATTTCACAGAACTAGCTCAAGATGAGAACTCTACTCTTCTGTCCATCACTGAACAAACGATAACAGATATGAATTCAAATGAAGTGAACAGTATCACACTCACCGATAGCCTAATGGTGTCAACGTATAAAAGAGATGAAACGGCTCCGTTGTTACGGACGTTTGATCTAAACCTCACCTCAGAAACACTTACCCTACACTTTGATGAAACAGTCAATGTTTCCTCTATTGTGTATTCTGGACTCATGCTGTTCTCTTTGAATACCAGCACCTCAGTCAACTACACTGTTAGGGGTGGAACCGTAGAGGGAGAAAATACGCCCGACGTCGTCATTCTCCTCAACTTTGCTGATCTTAATGAGCTGAAGCTTCAGCCTCTTTTGGCCACCAGTGAGAGTAACACATACCTGTACATGGAGGAGGGCACAATTCTTGATCTGGCGAAAGAGCCCAACCAAGTGAATGATATTACTCTCAGTGTCACTGACTATGTAAGCGACCAGACTAACCCAAACTTGATTGCATTCTCGGCTGATGTGAACCTTGGAACCCTAACACTCAACTTTGATGAGCCAGTTAATGCTTCGACCTTAGACCCAACTGGCATCTCACTACTCAGCAGTGAAGACATGAGAGAGATAAGGCTGACTGGAGGCAATACAACCAGCGACAATGGCCTTCAAATTGTAGTCGTTATCACTGAGGATGACTTGAATGCCATCAAGGTCTTGGAAAACCTCTATACTGAAGACAGCAATGTCTATATATCTGTTGATCCCTCGACAATATCGGATATGAATAACAACCCTGTGAATGCTTTGAGTGCTCTTAATGCCACTGCGTTTACAAATGACACAACTAGCCCCAAACTTCGTGCATTCGATCTGGATTTCGACTCAGATATTCTCACGCTAGAGTTTGTTGAAACAGTCAACACCAGTTCAATTGACTTTACAGGTATAACTCTTCAAGATGATTCCAACACCAACAACACCTATACCCTGACAGGAGGTGTTCTGCAGAGTTACGCAGACTCTGCAATTGTGAGGTTTAAACTCTTGAGATACGACGCAAATCAAGTGAAGATTCAGGAAATTGCACTGACTGGCAGAACGACTTGGCTAACTCTGGGGAATACAACAAGCTATGATCAAAATAGTCAGCCAGTTCTGCCTCTTGTGAATGGAGTGAATGCCTCTCGTGTTCGAAACTACACGAATGATACCACCCAACCAGTTGTGGAGGCATTCCACCTAAACCTTACTGCCAATACACTCACCCTGGAACTCTCAGAGACAGTTAATGTCATCGATACTCTCAGCGTGTCAGCACTGATAATCCTTGCTGGGCCAAATCTGAACACTGTTGGGAGGTTCCATCGACTGGGTTTGGACTCAAACACTCTCTCAGATGAAGTATATACACCTGTAGTGACAATCCAACTAGGGAGGTTGGACTTGAATGAAATTAAAAAGAATATCAACCTTGCAACATCAAATGCTAACACATACCTGGCTCTGGATTCAACAGCACTATCCGACATGAAACTAAATCCAGTTGTTGCTATAACTACTCTCTTACCGATTTCTGTGACTGATTACACTGAAGACAGGGTTCCTCCCCAATTAGAGCAGTTTGATCTAGACATGGATGCATCGACCATGGTCCTCTATTTCTCAGAGACCGTTGACCCCAAGACCCTTGACCTCAGCCAATTCCTGTTTCAATCGTCCGAGAGTGTGCCATCTAACTCAACAGACATACATTCTCTTTCAGGGGGTGTGGCTAGCACAGCAGATCCAACACCATATTTCACTGTCTTTATCAATGTCCCGGATCTGAATGATCTAAAGCGCTTGCCTCTACTAGCATCCGACGAAAACAACACCTATATCCGGCTCTTTAGGGGTGGCATTCGTGACATGACCAACAACTATGTCAGTGTTTGGCCTCGTGATATGGCACTGCAAGTGTATAATTACACTACGGACACAACTAGGCCATCACTCATTTCATTTGACCTGAACCTCAGTTCCGAGAGACTAATTCTGACATTTTCTGAGACGGTCAATTCATCCAGCCTTGATGTATCCCGCATTGTGATACAGGCCTATCCCTCTGCAGTTGAACCATATCTGAGACGACTGACAGGTGGGGTCATTCTCACTCCATTTGATACAGTGGTTGAGGTGCAGCTGAGCCGAGATGACTTGAACTACATAAAGTGGGTCCCAGAGCTGGCAACATCAGAGTCCAACACTTACATCTCTTTCGATGAAACTGCACTGGAAGACATGTTTGGAAACTTGGTGATTGGTGTGAGCACTGATAATGCCCAGCCTGTCACAAACCACACAGAGGACAATCGCAGTCCTATTGTCATAAGTTTTGACTTGGACATGAATGAAGGAACAATCGACATATATTTCAATGAGACTGTTGATGTATCTTCACTTGATGTTGAAGAGATTATCATTCAAAATGAACTGACTCTCTCGGAAAACTCAACATTTTATGTGTTCACGATCGAAGCTAACACAGGATCCACTAGTTTAAATGGCCGGAAATAACCATTCAAATCGGCGACGACGACCTGAACGAAATCAAACGCCTGTCAGATCTCGCCACATCTGTACATTCGACATTTATAAACTTCACATCACTTGCTATTGCTGACAGTAATGGGAACCAACTGTCACCCATTCACCTACAAGCTTCAAGCTACACTCCCGACACAACTTATCCATTGGTGTCAGGATATTCATTTGACCTTGATAGTGGTCAGCTACATTTCACATTTTCAGAGACTGTGAATGTCTCTTCTCTCAGGACCAACCAAATAACCCTTCAGAATGTAAGGTCCACCACCAGTGCAACCATGGAAGTACACAGTCTTACCCTGAAAGGTGGCTATGTGCTAACATCCGGAGACAACACTACAGTCACTGTGGAGCTTCTGAAAACTGATTTAGATGACCTTAAGGCTGTACCAATTGCAACAGAGAGGGACACGACATTCCTCTCCATCACATCTGCTTTCATACTGGATATGAACGATAATCCAGTAGTCTCCATTGAGACCAACAATGCTACGATGGTTAGTGAGTTTACAAATGACACAACTCGTCCGTACCTAGAGGAGTACTCCATTGACCTAAATGTGGGTCTGATTACCCTTACATTCTCAGAGACCGTCAATACTAGTAAAATTGATTTGACAGAGCTAACACTTCAAGATGATACGACTGCCACCAGTTCCTTTACACTACTCAGTAGTGCTCATTCACAGAGATCTCAACCTGTAGTTACTGTCTTTGTAAGCAAGTCTGACCTAGATCTTTTGAAGCAAAACAGACACGTGGCGACGAATAGAGATGACACTTTTTTGACTCTAACTAATGACACCCTGGATGACATGGCAGGGAACCAGGCAATATTCATTCCAGATGGTGGTGGAATGATAGTTGCAAACTACACACCAGATATCACTGCTCCTGAGCTAGAAAGGTTTGATTTCAATGTCAACACTGGACTCCTCACCTTTTACTATTCCGAGACCATAGACATCTATAGCTTTAACCACTTGCTGGTGACACTGCAGAGTAACAGCAACCTTTCTCTCTCTCAGCACTCCTTTGTCCTGAGAAGTGGCTACCTACTGCCCAATGACAGCACTGTTGCATACTTTACACTCTCTACAGAAGACTTGAATGAAGTGAAGCGGCTAGTGTACCTTGGTACATGTACTACCACAGATACATACATCTCTCTAATTCCCAACCCAATTGTGACCCGTGAATACTTATTAAAGCCAGGAGTAGCAGAGTTGCTATCTGAAGAGGAGATGTATTCTTCTGCAAGTGGCTCTGGACACATAGAGAGTGGTGACAGCAGTGGTCGTGCTAGTGGGGATGAATTTGTTCCCTTAGCTCCACTCGAGTTTTCTGCACACGTGTACGACATGTCTGGGAACCCAGTGCTATTTGTTTGGAGCCAGAACTCCCTGCTTGTATCAGAGTGCCTCAATGATACTACCCCACCAAGGCTTCTGAATTTCACTCTAAACTTGCAAAACGGTACCTTGACACTAACATTTGAAGAGACAGTCAACACTACCTCGCTCGATGTAACACAAATTACTCTATACAGTGGTAGCCCCGAAGGAAATGAGACGGAGTGGTATACCTTGGAATCAAGCTACACTTCTGTAGGTACTCTCTCAGGCCAAGTCATAATTGAGCTCACAGTTTCCAACACTGACTTGAATGAAATCAAGCGTCGATCATATCTGGCTACAAATGAAAATAGCACTAGGATCTCCATCACTACTTATCTTATACTAGACATGAATGGGAACAGAAACATAGAAATATCGCCTGAAGATTCCATTCCTGCAGAATTACATATTCCTGATGAAACATCACCCACTCTCAGGCATTTTGAGCTTGATCTTACTCTTGATACACTAACTCTGAGCTTCTCAGAAACAGTCAACGCTACTTCTCTGTCTGTGAGCGGCATTGTCATCCTGAATGAGAACTTTACCAGCCACCGGAGACTAGAGGGAGGACGCTTTGTTGTTCATCATCCAATGAACTGGGCAGATGATCCCATCATAGTTATATCTCTTGATCCAAGTGATCTGAACTACATCAAGAGCATGAGGGACTTGGCTACTGGTTACAATGACACTTTCCTTGCCATTGAGAGCTTCACAATAGCTGACATGAATGGAAACTTGGTTGAGCAAATCAACTCTAGCAATCCAACGCCAGTTCGTCTATTCACGGAAGACAATGTCTCTCCAGAGTTGGTATCATTTGATCTCGATATGGACTCGTTTGAACTGTTCTTGACCTTTTCAGAGACGGTGGATGTCTCTACTCTAAATGTCTCTGCTATATACCTACAACCATCAAACATATCTCTGGAAGTAGAGAGGTTTTCTTTCACTGGAAGAAATACGTCAACATTTTCCACCAGCAACGACTGGCCTGATATAGTTGTCAACATAGGGATTGATGACATGAATGAGATCAAGCGTCGTATTGATCTTGCAACTTCCAATGTTACCACATTCATCACCCTCTCTGATCTAGCCATTGATGACATGAATGGAAACAGTGTGGTACCTGTTCCAAATGGAGATTCTATTGCGGTGACTAACTTCACAGCAGACACAACCAATCCCCAATTAGACCGCTTTTCAATTGACATGGATACGGGGTCCCTACAGTTGACTTTCGATGAAACTGTCAACTTCTCATCCATCAACTTCTCTCGTGTGGCTATCTTTAACAATCCAACTGCAGATGTCGGCATCTATTTGGCTGGTGGACAAACTACAAATGAACTAGACAGTGTAATTGTAGAGTTGTTGTTCACTGTTGAAGACCTCAACACCCTGAAGAGAATCCGTGACATTGCTACCTCACACCTTGACACATTTGTTTCCCTGGAGTCTGGAGCAATACTAGATATGAACGACAACCCAGTCAATGCTGTAACCTACTCAGATGCCCTGAATGCATCCAACTTTGTACCTGATACATCACACCCACACCTGGTTAGTTTTGCCCTTGATATGAACACTGGAACCCTCTACCTCACCTTCAATGAGACTGTTGAAGCTTCTTCGCTGAATGTCTCACAAATGACTCTCCAAGACAATGCAACCGCTACTGATAACAACACGTACACATTTACAGGAGGTGTGTCTTCCATGGAAGACTCCACTGTCATTGTCTTCAACTTTAGCTTTTTCGACATCAATGAGATAAAGAAGATACGTGGTCTTGCTAGCAGCGAATTTGGCTCCAATACATATCTGACAATGACTAATATTTCTATCGTAGACATGAATGATAATCCAGTGGTTCCAATTCCAGATGGAATGGGAGAAGGTGTGTTCAATTTCACTCAGGACACAACTCCACCTGAGCTTGTTGACTTTGACTTGAACATGAACAACAGTCTCTTGGTACTTACTTTCTCAGAGACAGTCGACACCTTGACCTTCAACATCACCCAGTTTTCCTTGCAAGGTACAAGTAATACATCTGCTTACTTTGGCACTGACATTGTGGTGCTGTCAGAGCCAAACCTACTAACCGGTGATGAAGTTGTCATTGTACAGGAACTTCTGTACTTTGATATCAACACAATCAAGGCACAGGGTCACCTTGCAACTTCCCCTGATGATACATATCTTAGCCTAACAAGTGCTGGGATATTTGATATGGTTGGAAATCCAGTTGTGGATATCAGTGAGTTTGATGCAAAGCCGGTGAAAGACTACACGTATGATGTCAACCGACCAATGCTCGAGTCTTTTGATCTAGACATGGACAGTGGGCTACTAGATTTGACATTCTCTGAAACCGTCAATGTGTCCACATTGGATGTTGCCGAAATCATTCTCTATAGCCATGAAAGCCGTGAATCAAACGACACACAGCAATTTGTGTTTTCAGTGGAGAGTGGCAGTAACGATCCAGAATGGCCCTACTTCACGCTGGTCATAGGTCTAAATGATCTGAATGCCATCAAAGCGCGTGACCTCTTGGCTACAAGATATGAAACCACTCTGCTGTATCTCTCTGAGTTTGTCATTCGTGACACAGCAGGCAACATGAACCTTCCAACACAGAATGTTACAGGAGTCAACAATTACACACGAGACACAACTAGACCAGAGCTACTAGAGTTTGATCTGGATTTGAGTCGGGATATTCTGACCCTCAGGTTCAGCGAGACAGTGAATGTGGAAACATTTGATGCAACACAAATAACCCTCCTGGTGTCTCGTTTGGTAGTAGCTGAAAATGTTGGAGCGGGACAATCAGGCAGTGGGTCAGGAAGTGGCTCTGGTATTGGATCAGCCAGTGGATCGGCCACTGGATCCGGAGTGATGACCGGTGAGTCAGAGGTTGAAATACGAGAGATAGTTAATTATACTCTCTCCGGTGGAGGACTTTTTTCATTAATAAACACTACACAGCTCCGCCTAAAACTCAGTTTCGAAGACAGGAATGAGATCAAGCGATTGCTGGACCTTGCCATATCCAATGAGACTACCTACATTTCAATCACCCCTTATCTGATACATGATACTGCATCAAATGCCATTCAACCAATAAACATCTCCGATGCTCTCCAAGTGACTAACTTCACTACTGACAGCGTACCACCACGAGTAATGAGTTTCGATTTGGACATGGATGGACCAACACTCACACTCTATCTTACTGAAACGGTGGATGTCACCTCACTTAATGTGTCAGCCATACTAATACAGTCATCTGATTCATTCTACGATGGAGAGGTTGAGTATCACACACTGACTCCTGGCCTACCTCCATTAGGAACTAGCTCCCGATCAGAAAACAGCCACATCATTACCATAGACATCGGTAAAGTAGATGCAAACAGAATCAAATTTCTTACTGGACTTGCCCAAGATGCTAACTCGACTTACATTTCGTTGACACAAGATGCCCTCAAGGACACTACTGGAAATGACATTGTAGAAATACCAGATACAAATGCTAGTCAGGTGGATAGGTACTATGCTGACATGACAGGACCTGTTCTGCGAAATTTCTCACTGAATCTAACTTCTGAACTGTTAACACTAGTTTTTGATGAAACAGTCGACTTCCTTTCTCTGAGAGCAATGTTGGTAACACTCAACAGCAGTTCAACGGACTCACAATCTTACAGATTTCAGTCGGTAGTTCCTATTGGCCTCAATTCTCATATACTTGTCCTAAATCTAACGGCAACACAGTACGATCTGAACCGAATTAAGCTACTCTCCCAACTGGCCATCGATCGTGACTCTACCTATATTCTCCTTTATAATGGAGCCATATCGGATCTGGCTTTGAAACCAAACTACATAATGGACTCTCCTCTGACCCAGGCGGATGATTTCTTCAGTGATACCATTTCCCCTGATATTATTGCTTTCAATGCCAACCTCAATGTAGGCACAGTGACCCTCGTATTTGACGAGGTGGTAAACTCCTCTAGTTTGGACCCTACCGCCCTCAGACTACAGAACACAGTGATGGGACCGGATCTTATTACCAACTTACAGGTGAGTTAGGCATTACTATTCTCTTACTCCTCGTGTGTGTGCATGCATTGTGGTTGGAGTATTTGGTTTGTCGGTCTGTCAGTTTTGATTGGTCATTAGTCATTTTGTCCCCTATTTTTTATCCGTTTTGATTGCTGTGCAAAGAAGTACCAGTTTGTGCATGATGAGATAGGCAAAATGAACCAGTAATGTCGTCTGAGGAACTAAAATGGTCAAAGTCTCATATACGTGTTGTCTCATGTATAACGTCAGTGAAGCTAGTCTAACTTAAAAAGAGAGGGTGATCCTTCAGTAAGTGTGTAAAAGTCAATGAATTTTAGGTATAAGTGTTCTCCCATACTGCCTGGTGCCCAGAATAAGGTTTTGTCATTACATTCATATCAGGTGGCTCAACATCGAGTTACAATGGTCTCACTATTGTGATAAACATAACTCGAGATGATCTGAACAACATCAAGTTCATAGAAAATCTGCTCGTTGATCAGTATACTTCATACCTAAGCGTCGAGTCTGGTCTCATTCGAGATATGAACAGGAACCTTGTCACGTCACTGCCTCCCCACAATCCACTACAGATCAGCAAATATGTGAACGATACCACTCGCCCACAAGTTGTCGACTTTGACCTTGACATGGACGAGGGTATCCTGGCAATCTACTTCCTAGAGACTGTAGACATACAGTCAGTCAACTACTCTTGTATATCGCTGCTCAAGAGCTTTGATGGATCTGTGTCATATAGCCTTACTGGAGGTTCTTTGCTAGCCTTGCGTGATCCAGCTCTCTTTAGCGGCCGTGGCTCTGGACTCAGCAGTGGACTGGGTAGTTCTTCAGGAAGTGGGTCAGGAGTGAGTGGCTCTGGTAGTGGGGAAGGCGCCGGGCACATTGTCTATGTCCCACAGTATGGATCATCACTGAACGTTGATGAGTTCATCGTTTTGACCGACTCAAATGCAATGAATGATGCAACTGCCCTTTTCATCAACTTTACTCTCGCGACTTGAATGCCCTCAAGGCAGCTTACATAGGACTCGACATGATGTCTTCGTGGCTGGCATTGGAGCCTTGTACAGTGACAGACCAGAGTGGGCTCTTGCTGCAACCACTGGAGATTGGTGTGGATGCACAGAGTGTAAGATTTCACGTGGAGGACACTACTCCACCCCGGTTGCAACAGTACGATCTAGATATGGATGCCGGTGTCGTAACATTTCGATTCAGTGAAACGGTTAACGGTCGGCTACTAGATATGAGTCAGCTGACATTCCACTTCACAATGGATTATTCACTCTGTAGTTACCAATGTGAAGAGCACAGACTAATGCTGAATTTCTATATCCCAATTGATGATATTGCCCCTGAAATCAATGCTACAATTGAAATTGATGATCTGAATGAACTCAAGCGCCTTAGACAGTTGGTAAGTTCTCGAAATACTACCTACATCTCTTTCACCAGTGACCTGATACCCGATACTAGTGGTAATATGGTTGTAAGTGTGTCAACCTCTGCTGCAGTACAAGTAACAGACTACACCAGGGATACCACCAGACCCAACCTTGTCTCGTTCGATCTTGACCTAGACTCCGATATCTTGACACTCACGTTTGACGAGACTGTTGATGGAGCCACGCTAAATGTAACACAGATAACATTCCAGGAATTTGATGTGCTGCTTGAGGGTGACCAGTTTTACCGGTTAGATGGTAGTCCACACGACGTGTTTAGCTCTACTGTCCTTCAGGTTAACCTAAGCTACACGGATCGTAATGCCCTGAAGCAGTTAACTAGTCTAGCCACTGTCAAACGTAGCACTTGGATATCCATCACTGAGTACCTAGTCAATGACACAGACAGCAATCGAGTTGAGTCACTTCCTGCTCTGCTTGTGAACAGTTATACTTCTGATGAAACTCTGCCAATATTCTCAACTACACCTTGAATCTAACTTCAGAAATACTTTCTCTCTCCTTTTCTGAAACAGTTGATGTGTCAAGTCTTGATGTGAGCGATATAGTATTGCAGAATGATACTGGCCTGTATGATGAACATTTCTATAGACTGACAACGGGTTCTTTCGATGATACAGATACAGCTGTAGTACATATTGCCTTGTCTTTCGACGACATCACAGAATTGAAAAAAGATCGCTTGTTAGCCACTGCAGAAAACAACACATTTATTTCATTTACAACGGAATTTGTGAGTGATACAACTGGGAACAGAATTGTTGATATACCCACCTATGATGCGTTGCAAGCAGACCTAGTAATCGCAGACAGGATACGTCCTCAGCTGAATGCTTTTGATCTGGATCTCACACTTGGTATACTGTATCTCTTCTTTTCCGAAACAGTTGATCCATACTCTCTGAATCTCAACCAAATCCGACTTCAGAACAACAAGTCAGTTAGTATTGCTTCAGACTCTGATATGATGGAAGTGGACTGGACATCAGCGGTAGTGGGAGTGGTAGTGGGTACCTACAATGCATTCAGTGGGGGTGGTAGTGGCAGTGGTAGTGGCAGTGGTTCAGGTGAAGTTGACGGAGTAGACGACAGAATTGACTACAGCATAGCCTACTACACTCTCACAGGTGGGCAGCATCACTATGGAGTACAGCCCCACCATTAGCGTCGATCTCTCTGACTATGACTTGAACAACATTAAGCGGTACTACAATCTGGCTATAGACATGGAAACCACTTATCTCTCTTTCCCTGAAACTCTTATCATAGACACCAGTTACAATCAAATTGTGCCCTTTTCTTACACTGATGCTAAGCAGGTGAGGGAGTACACTCCTGACGTTATACCTCCAGTGCTACTGAACTATTCACTGAGCTTTGATACTGACACTATTGTTTTCACTTTCTCTGAAACTGTAAATGTCGATAGGTTTAACCTGAGCAATGTTTTCATTCGTGGACAATCACTGTATCCATCAGTAAGACTCACACAGCCCTCGCCAGATAACAGAAGGTAATGGCACAGTGATTAGTGTACAACTGACAAGGCAAGACTTGAACAACCTGAAGAGACGGGCAAACATCGCAATTGATGGGGACTCCACTTTCCTCTACTTTCCTAAACCAGTAGTTGTTGATATGGTAGGGACTCCAGTGGAAATAATTTCTCGGAATGACCCATTTTCAGTTGATGTATTCAGCCCAGATCCAAGGCCACCTGTTTTAGATGCTTTTGATGTGAATATGAATTCCGGGCTTCTTACACTGTTCTTCAATGAAACTGTCAACAGAACATCGCTCATGACGACGTATATCACTCTTCAAACTGGCAGCAATATATCGCAGTTGGGAAATATTGATTTTGAAAGTCACTCTCTTTCGGTCAGTGATACAGTTGAGCAAACCAATGAACCCACATTCATGATAGTATTTACAGTGGATGACTTCAACGAAATCAAAAGAAAGGATGTGTGTAGGGAGGACACAAGCTGTTACTTATCACTGCTTGAGAGCACTGTGCGTGATATGGACTATAAATCCATCAATGAAATCCCCTCATTTGAGGCTCAGCAGGTGAGAAATTTCACATTTGACACAACTGCACCTCAGCTCGTGCGGTTCTTGGAGGTAGATCTAAATAATGGTAGTCTAACCCTGGAATTCAGTGAAACAGTGAATGTTAGATCTTTTAACTATACTGGAATCACACTGCAAGACTTTTTCCGGAGCCCTCGTTATTCCTTGAGACTAACTGGAGGCAGTTCTTATTCTGAGAATGGCACCGTTGTTACCATCATCCTTGATCCACTGGACCACCATCTCCTGCTTCAGGATGACAACATTTGCTCTGACATTAACAACTGCTGGATCTCGTTTGAGCCAAATTCCGTAGATGATATGAATGGCAATGGCAATCTTCCAGTACCAGAAGACGATGCTCTCGATGCTCTTATTTTTACTGACGACGACACAGAGCCCTATCTTGAGGATTACTCCCTAGATATGGACAGCGGTATCCTAACACTCACCTTCAGTGAGCCTGTGAGAGGTAGTACTCTGGACGTCTCCCAAATCTTTCTTCAGCCTACAGAAAACTCCACCATCTTTGTTGCTCTGAAGGACTCTACAACGACGAGTATGTTCAGCCACATTGTGGAGATAGCTTTCTCATTGATCGACTTCAACCGCATTCGAATGACAGAGTTTGCAAAATCTGAGAACGACACATACCTCAGTTTTACAGACGCTGCAATTTTTGACATTGCGGTCACAGATCCCAATCCGGTCATTGCCATTCCAATGTTCGAAGCCAGAAAGGTAGGTAACTACACTCCCGACACCACCAAACCTTATCTGGTAGGTTTCCAACTTGATCAGACAACCGAGTCTCTTGTACTCACACTCAGTGAACCTGTCCGTCCATCTACTCTCGATGTATCAGAGATAACACTGGTGTCATCACGTTCAAATCCTCCTCTTTCAATGAGTCAACTGACAAGCGGCTATGTAGCTGGGGATGCTGCGTATGATGGTGTGCAAGTGGTCTCAGTCGTTTTAAATCGCCAAGCAAATGAATTCAGCAAACTAGACCGCTACTTTGGCCAGTTTGAGAACTCAACACTCATAGCTATTGGTCCTGCAACTATTGCGGACATGGCAAGAAACTACAATGTGCCCATAGCCATAGAAAACGCTACCAGAGTGTCTGTCATTCTTCCAGACACTGTCCAAGCAGAGCTGGAGAAGTTCACAATTGACTTTGACCAAGGTCGGTTGAATCTCATCTTCACTGACATAGTGGTGCCCTCTTCCTTCCGAGCTACAGCAGTACGGTTGCAAGATGCTTCTTCAGCTACCACAAGTGTTAGGCTTACAGATATCAGCACCACTGACAGTCCCAATGGTTATGCACTGAGTATTAAGTTTGGTACAGAGGACATCAATGCCATCACTTATGACATTGGTCTAGCTACCAACATCAACAACACCTACCTAATCATCGCTTCCGACGTGGTGAAAGATTTGAATCAGCGAATTGTGATACCTATTCCTGATGATTATGGTGTTCGAGCAGCTGAATACACCAATGACAATACCCCACCGACACTTGAGTCGTTTGTTCTGGATGTCAACGAGGGAGAACTTATCGTCAGTTTCTCTGAAACTGTTCATACCTCTAGTTTGGATGTATCCGGGATTGTTCTCCAGAGTAGTCCTGTAGAATATCTGAACGAAACAAGCTTTGTGAGACTCACAAGCATTATGGAGTTCCCACTGGGCTCCTCTTCATTTAGTGATAATGGTTCAACTATCACCGTCCAGCTTGGATCGTTGGACCTCAATGAGATAAAGCGACTGCCTAATCTGGGAACTGAGCGCAACAATACATACATGTCTATAGACAACGATACCATAACTGATATGGTTGGTATATACAACACAGAAACAGTCTCCAGGCAGGCAATTCGGGCTACTAGAGTTGAAAGTGATGTCTCACAACCAGAGCTTGTTAGCTTTGTATTCAACCTGACAGAGGGTCAATTATATCTCACCTTCTCAGAAACAGTTAATGCTGGCACTCTAAACGTAGACAGTATACTCGTGCAGAACTCTAGCAACATGTTTCTTGACAGAGTAATGTTGAGGAGCACCAGAGGGTCATTGACTGAGAGTGAAGACAGCACAGAAGTCATTGTTACGGTTGGACGAGATGATCTGAATGACATCAAACGTAACCGCCTCCTAGGAACCAATACCAGTAACACATATTTGTTTCTAGAGGATGATGTCATTGAAGATATGAATGAGAATCTGAATGTACCAATTTACAACCCTTTTGGTTTGCCGGCATCCAGTGTGTACCAAGATAGGGCCAGGCCTTTCCTACTGGGTTTTACACTGGACCTGGACTTAGGCTGGCTGATTCTCACATTCGACGAGACAGTCGAAACAACAAGCCTGGCGGTTGATCAGATTATTCTGCAGAACGTAAAAAACGCCTCCAATCTTCAGTACATTGAGGATTTGTCTGGATCAGGATCTGGTTTTGTATTCTCAGGTGACAGCTTCAACATTAGTGGATCTGGTGCCACTAGTGGGTCTGGTGATCTGATGATCATACAAATAGATGTTCAGTCAAGGAAACTGACTGCTGGAGACCTGCCACTGGAGTCCCTCACATTCTCTGACGATGATCCTGTTGTGGTAGTGGTCTTGGGTGAGCATGACCTCAATGAAATCAAACGTCTTGGAGACCTAGCTACAAATGAGTCCAATACATTTATAGCACTGTCATTGGGAACAGTAGTGGACATGAACAATAATCAAGTTGTACCGGTAGAGCAAAGTAATGCAATAATGGCAGAGAGGATCCTGCTTGATGAAAATCCACCTTACCTCAGACACTTTCACCTTGACATGGATAAAGGGCAACTTTTGCTCACCTTCAATGAAACTGTGAATGCCTCCAGCTTCAACCCTTCAAAAATCATAGTCCAGAGCTACCAGTCAGCCCCTGCATCGTTGCTTCATAACATAGTGGATGGTAGAGTTCTGAGTAACGATTCAACAGTTGTAATTATTGAGATTTCCGATGGTGATTTGAACCGAATAAAGCAGATCCCAGCTCTAGCAACCACTACCGAAAACACATACGTGAGGTTTCTCTACGATGGAATCAGAGACATGTTTGGTAATTCAATTCAAGAGGTTGAAACCAGCGATGCTCTAAAGGCAAGGAATTACACAGAGGACAAAACGTCACCTGTACTTCTTAGTTTCGATCTGGATATGGACACATCAGACCCAGAACTCATTCTGACATTTGACGAGACAGTAAACACCAGCTCTCTTAATGTCGAGGGAATACTGCTACTTGGGTTCAATAGCAGTCTCAGTGGTGACTACTTTATGCTAACAAACTCTTCAGTTACTTTTGATCCTTTCTCTACTGAAGTAACGATTGTACTCTCGAAAGAAGATGCGAATGAAATCAAGCGTCTTCCTGATCTTGCCGTGGATCAATCTTCCACTTACATCTCCATACAGGGTTTCACTATTGAGGACATGAATGGAAATGAAGTCAATGAAATATCTCAGTTTAATGCGACCCAAGTGAGTAATTATACGGTGGATGAAAACAAACCAATACTTGTCGAGTTTCATCTTAACTTAGACACAAACCAACTTGTCCTGACATTTAATGAGACAGTGAGCTCAAGCTCCACCATGTTTGAGCTGATACAAGTCCATTCTGACCCTGAAATCGAAACGTCTACACGCATGGTCACTCTGACAGGTGACTATGTTGTGAACGACAACTCACATGTCCTCTACATACAGCTCAACCAGAGTGAGGCTAACACGATAAAACTCCATGAAGACTTTGGTACATTGCCCAGCAACACGTATGTCACTACCTCCAATGGAGCTGTCAATGATGTCAGCACCAATGCCAACCCACTCATAGCCAGCACACAGAGTGCAAGCCACATAGTCCCAGACAGAACTAGTCCTGTTCTCGACATGTTCAGTGTGGACTTGAATGCGGGGATACTCATACTCGTTTTCAATGAGCCAGTAAATGCCTCGACATTTGAAGCCTCAGGACTGACTGTACAGAATGCCCGAAGGTCAAGGATTGGACTGAGATTGACAACAAGTAATACCAGCTCTGGCAATGGACAGGCGGTCATTGTGACACTGTCTGATGATGACTTGAATGAAATCAAAAGAATTGATGCTCTCTTTATTGACAATGCCACCTCCTATGTCACAGTGACACCTGACCTTATACAAGACATGATGGGAAATGATGTGCGTTCCATTGTCAACGGTTTTGCTCTCCGTACTAGTGGTTTTATACCAGACAGTGGTCTTCCCTACATATCCAGCTACCAGCTAGACATGGATGAGGGTTATGTCACACTCTTCTTCTCTGAAACAGTAAACATTTCTAGTCTCGACTGTGGGGAGATTACGTTCTCTAACTCAATGGACTGCTCAGTTTTGTACACACTGACTGAGTGCACAATTGACACAACCAGTGTCCAATACACCAGCTTTGATGTTGGAACAAGTGGTAGTGGCAGTGGTGACTATGGCAGTGCTCCTAAATGGATCACACCCTATCATTACTCAACTAAAGTGGCATTCTTCCTGTCACTCAGGGATTTAAATCGACTGAAGGCGCTTGAGATTGCTCCACTGGCCCAGTTCACCTATCTCTCATACACCAACCTAACTATTCATGATCAGAGTGATCTGTCTCTGGTGGGAAGAGAGTGTGTTGGTACTGGTCTGCCCATCTATGGCCACTGACTTTACTGAGGATACCACCCACCCTGAAATACGCAGCTTCAACCTCTCAATGAATGACGAAGTAATTGTCATAAGCTTTTCTGAGACAGTCCGATCTGAAACACTGAATGTGCACCTCATTTCATTACAGAATGAAAACTCTTCTGAGCTTGCTACTCAAACCTACACTCTTGGTTCTGACATATTAACTCGCACATATGATGGACCCACAGACATACTAACTATCAAGTTGGGGAGAGATGACCTCAATGTTATCAAGTTCCTGGCAGAGTTAGCAATTTCAAATACAACCACTTACATCACTGCTGAACCACTGTCAATCATGGATATGAAGAGCCTCGCTCTTGTAGGCATCAACACATCCAATGCCCTTCAAGTGAGTCATTTTACTCCTGATGAAATGCCACCACTGCTGAGAGACTATGTACTTGACCTAAACCTTGGTTGCTTACATTTAACTTTTGTGGAGACAGTAAACGTAACTACTCTGAACTATAATGGACTAATACTACAAGTTATTCCTGATCTGAGTGTGTTTGATAATACAACTGGCAACAGCTCTAATATGACGGACATAGAAAGTTCATCTGGTTCAGGGAGCGGAGCACCGGTCGATATAACACTGTATGAGTCATGTGATATTCTTTACTTCCGTTTGACTGGAGGGTACACACTGACTCCAAAAAACAGCCCTGAGGTATCTTTCAACTTTACCTGGGATGATCTGAATGACATCAAGCGGGAGACTTGTCTTGGAACTGTAGTGAGCAATACTTACGTCAGTATCGATGTGGGGACTATCTTGGACATGAATGAGAATCCAATCGAAGAAGTTGATATAAACTCTGGTAAAATTGCACTGAGTGTCATCCCAGACGATACACCTCCAAATCTCGGCAGTTTTGATCTGAACATGACGACTGAGATTTTGACTCTCTATTTTGATGAAACTGTTGACGTGGAGACATTTGATCCCCAGAGAGATCACTTTCTATGCCTCTCCTCTGCAGCTCCTTGTTGAGGTGGTAAACAGTACAGAGATAAACTCCACCAACAGTTCTCTTGAATACTACTATTACTACTCCAGTGAAGTCAACTACACTCTGCTAGGTGGTTATGTGCTTGGAAGAGATGATCCAGTTATAGACCTAAAGCTGGACCTAGTAGATCTGAACAGAATCAAAGCTATTGTCAGACATTGCTACTAGAGCAAGTAACACGTATCTCAGTATTACTAATGACACAGTATCTGACATGAATGCGAACAAAGTAAATGCTATCCTGCCAGAAGACGCTATCAAAGTTTCAATTTTTGGCGCCGACAAAATCTCACCAGAGCTTTTATCGTTTGATTTGAACCTCAATAACTCACAGCTTCACCTGACCTTTGATGAGACTGTGAATGTATCATCACTTGTGCTAGCAGAGATTACACTACTGTCATCAAACTCGTCTTCACCTACTCAGGAATGGGCCCTCACCGATGGTATTGCTCCACTGTACAGCTACTCTGAGAGTGATGATGGTCCAGTGGTAATTGTCAATCTCGGCAGTGTTGATACAAATGAAATCAAGCGACTTACATCTCTTGCAATTTCCAACGCCACCACCTACCTCTCCCTCACTCCCCAGGCCATTTCTGACATGACAGGAAACCACATCCAGGAAATTACCTACAGCATGGCTCTTCAAGTAACCGAGTATACTGAAGATGAGATATCCCCTGTACTAATTGATTTTTACCTTGATCTGAACACTGGTGTCCTAACGCTTGTGTTTGATGAAACTGTCAATGCTTCATCCATTGTGGTTCCATATCTTCTCTTGCAAAATGATTCCTTGTCCCCACTGAGTTCCCTGGCCATCTATAGCAGTTTGGTAATTTCAATGGACAATCACACACTCTATATAGAGTTTGGAATAGATTTTCTGAACCATCTCAAGAGAGTTGATGACCTGGCCACATCTCCCAATGACACATACCTCTCTTTTCCATCTGCATCCCTCATAGACATGAACGGAAATGAGGTTGTATTTATCAGCAACACTTCAGCAAAGCAGGTTCGTGGCTTTACTAATGACACTATGAGACCAGTTTTGCTTGACTTTGATCTGGATATGGACAAAGGTGAACTCACCTTGTATTTCTCTGAGACTGTCAGAGTGTCGACTGTGCAAACAGCTGAAATTGTGTTCTCACAGTTTCCCTTCGATTCTGAAGGAGTGAATGGGTCTGGTATAGACCAGGTATCAGGTGTGTCCGGCTCATTGAGTGGATCTGCATCAGGGAGTGGATCTCCCGAGTCTGAATTCAAAGTTGATCGGTACAGACTCACAGGTGGCCTCGTGCAGGAGAGTGACTCCCATATAGTCACTATTGACATCACACTATACGACCTGAATGAGATCAAGAAACTTAGAAATTTGGCCACATCATTGGAGAATACATACATTCTTGTTAGTTCAGAGGCACTCGATGACATGTATGATAACCCGGTGGTACCACTGATCGAAGGAGAAGGGAAAATGGTGTCAAACTTTTCAAATGACACGACTCAACCAGACGTTGTTTGGTATCACCTGGACATGGACGCAGACAGTCTCATCATCTCATTCACTGAGACAGTTGACCTCCGTACTCTCGTAATTGACAATCGTATTACATTCTACAACACAAGTGATTTTAGTGGAGAGTTTTATGCACTTAGTGACAGTACCACCACTTCACCTGATGGGCCACTAGTTATCATATCCCTTTCTCCCAAGGATTCAAACCAACTCAAATTCCTAAGAGAACTAGCCAATGCAAAGGAAACAACTTATCTGCTTTTGAACAATACTATTCTGGATATGGTTGGTAATGTGATTACTCCACTTTTCAACGGTTCTGTGCAGCCAAGGCCTGCCAATATGTTCACGAATGACAGCACACGACCGTCCCTAGTTTCATTTGACTTCGATCTAGATATGGGCCTCCTGCACTTGACTTTCTCAGAAGTAGTTGATGATATATTCGAGCCTTCATTCACCATCCAAAATGACCTTGTCCCAACAAACACCACTCAAAGTGTCACTCTCACTGGCTCACAATCCATCTATGGCCCGTCACTTCTTCCTGATGGTCCTGGCCACCCGCCGCAAGTAACAATCTCACTCTTGGATGACGACTTGAACGAAATAAAGAGACTAGATCACCTTGCAGTGTCTGATGAAACAACATTTGTTGCAGTAACTGAGATTGGGGCAGTGGATTCATTTTCTAATCAACTTGTGAACGATACACTCGAGGTCAGAGAATGGACTGATGATGTAACCTGGCCACAGTTGGATGAATTCTTCTTCTCTGCCGATACTGGTGTTCTTAGACTAACATTTGATGAGACTGTCAGGTTTACAACTTTCAATGCAACTACAGTTACTTTTGTCAATACTGAGAGTGGCTCAGAGTATTCTCTACAACATCATCCACCTAGTGAAGGTGCCAGTGTGAGTGAGTATGACTCAACTGTAATTAATCTAACCCTCGCTAATGACGACCTGAACGAGATAAAGATTCTGAGCGATCTTGCTATATCAAACACAACAACTCATGTCTCTTTGGAAATGTACACCATTGCAGATATGAGAGGGAATCCTCTCAATATTTCAAATTTGCCTCAGATGGTAGCAGTGTATGATGCTGATGTAACTAGACCTAAACTGAGTGCTTTTGATCTTGATGTTGATAATGGGCTTCTCACTCTCTACTTCACTGAAACTGTAAATGTCAGCACACTGGACATACAAGAAATAACACTGCAGCCTACTGAAGATGATGGTACACAATTACTCTCGTACACACTGATGTTCACTGGTCCTGCACCAGAAGGAACCTTCAGTAATAGCACTGATGGACCGATAATCAAGGTGTATATAGGAGACGATGACTTGAATGAGGTGAAACGTATACCAGAACTTGCCACTTTGGCCAACAACACGTATATCAGCATATCTTCCTTGGCAGTACGGGACATGGTAGACTTGCTGGTGGAGTCAGTGGAAATGCTCAATGCAACTGAAGTACGCTCCAATGGGTACACACCAGACACCACTCGTCCTCAGTTGATATCCTTTGACTTTGACTTGGACTCTGGGGTTTTAGAGTTGACTTTTGATGAAACAGTAGATGCAGAAACGCTTGACCAGACCAAAGTAATTGTGCAGAGCTTGATGTTGGATGATTCTTCACTCCAGCACTATCAGCTAATGACAGGAGAACTACTCTCAATGGATGACCCTGTTATCCTCTACAATTTGAGTTTCAATGATCTGAACAATGTTAAACTGCGAAGGAGTTTGGCCATCAGTGAAAACTCCACCTTTATAAACCTGGCACAGGGTACTGTATTTGACATGGCTTATGAATCAAAACCATCTGTTCCAGTCATTATGCGCGTGGACAACTTTACTGATGATGATACTTATCCAAACCTGCTCAATTTTGTCGTAGACATCAATTCAAGTCAACTTATTCTAAACTTTGATGAGCCGGTTGACCATCGCACCCTCCAGATACCTCAGATAACATTACAGTCATCTGCCAACAGGTCAAATGATCCAAGTCTCTACTTCACACTGCAGTCTAGTAACAGCTCCAGTGGTAGTGGCCTAGAAATTATTGTAGATCTCAGCGTTGAGGATGTGAATGAGTTAAAATACAGGGAGGGGCTTCTGGTTGATCCGGAAACAACTTTTATCTCTGTTACTGAGGATTTGATCCGTGACATGAGGGGAAATCCGCTAGTTGCCATTGCGCCAGAGAGTGGGCAAAGAGTGAGAATGTACGTAGCTGACGACACTAGACCACACCTCCTTGAGTTCCACCTGGACATGGATGCATCTCGACTACACCTGACCTTCCTTGAAACAATGAACGCCTCTAGTATCAACTTCACCTCATTCGTGCTCCAAGTTGACTCTCATATCGTCGATGAACAGCTACAGTATCGTCTAACAGAGGGTGTGCTAGAGTCATACGATGACAGCACTGTCATCACTATCATCATTTCCCTCAGAGATCTCAATGCTATCAAAGCACTTGAAATTGGAACGTCGACTAGTTCTTCATGGCTTGTGGTCGATCACTATGGCATCGCTGATCAGTACGACCTTCCAATTGTACCACTCATGAATGGAGTCAATGCACAGCGTGCAACACAGTACACAGTTGACACAACTCGCCCAGAGCTTGAAATGTTTACCTATGACCTCAACTCTGGGGAGCTGACCCTGTACTTCTCAGAGACTGTAAGAGTTAGCTCTCACAACAGTACAACTATCACTTTCCTAAATGCTGCTACATCCTCTGAAGCCACTGATACTTACACAGTATATCAACAAGGTTCAGCCTCTGGTTTGGATAATGGCCTTGAGGTCCCTGACAGTCATGTTGTTGTGGTGAAGCTCACAGAGTTTGACCAGAATGAACTCAAACGTCGGCCAGACCTTGCTACAAGTGATGCTACTACATTCCTGTCAGTACGCAGCAGCACAGTATATGACATGCAGGTAGGGGTTATATTGTGCTGTACCTTGCTAGTATAGCGAGCCCCCTAGTTGTCCAAGATGCATGATATTTGCTTTAGACAACTCCCTCTTACGCACACACAATTGAGAGTTAATCAAAGCCAATGCTCTGTAACTTGCAGATATAAATTTATAATCCTGTATAACCCATTGTGCTGTAGATAACAGAGTGTGAAGCATAATAATTTAGTTCTAGGTAGTGGCTCTTGCAGGATTCGACGTTCCGTTTACAGATGCCGATTTGTCACTTAGCACTATTGGATAGAGCATTGACCTTATACACAGCATTTTGATTAACTCTTAAGCTGTTAGTATCTGTCATTCGATAACTCATGTATTTCATTCTGTTGTAGATGAATTATCTAGTCCCAATACCACTCTCTGGAGCTTTCGGTACGGACACCGTTTATCCGGATATGACTAGCCCTAGTCTCGACTCTTTTGCTCTGGACATGGATTCAGCCAACCTGACCTTGACCTTCTCTGAAACTGTCAATGCTTCTTCCCTTGTTCCTACTGGCATAACGTTCTCTAGTCCTAACACCAGCTATAAACTGACTGGAGGATTTGTCATTGACTACTACAGTACTATCGTCACCATCAACCTGAATGATGCTGACTTTGATCTCGTCAAGTCTATGCGCACATTATGTACTGGTGGTATTACCTCCGATTGCTTACTCACCATTGAGGGTGATTCTATTCTTGACATGAGCATGAATGGAAACACTCCAACTGAGCTTGAGCCAACCAGTGTCATAACTGACACAACACCTCCCTACCTTGTCTACTATGACCTGGATTTGAATGCGGAAGAACTGCGTCTGACATTCTCAGAAGTGATTGTCACTGGCGGCGATGCTACAGTACAGGCAATCACACTGCTAGCCACACCATTTGAGTTTGATGCCCTGAGTAACGATAGTAGGGGAATCTACATCAATGAGTCTGACCCTGAGAGCTATGCTGGTATATTGCAAGCCTATACACTCAGCAGTGGAGCCCTCACTGGACCTAACACCGTTCCTAACCATCCTCCAGTCCTGATTGTCAGTCTCACTCACAAAGACCTGAATCTCCTCAAGAGTTTAGAGTTTGTTGCAACAGGGTTCGAAAACACCTACCTCCTTATCGCCCCCGAGGCTGCCACAGACTACAGTGGCAATCCACTAATGAGGCAAACATCAGGAAAACAGGTGAGAGTCTACACTCCAGACCAACAGAGACCACATCTGACTGACTTTGAACTCGACATGAACCTTGGCATCATTACCATGACCTTTAGCGAGACTGTTAATCGCTCCAGTCTACTCACATCTATGATATCTGTGCAAGGTTCAACAGACCATGCTCAAAGTGATATATACACACTAACTGGGGGCGTGTCCACCAGCTATGATAATCCTGTGATTGAGATAGAGTTGTCAGTGACAGATGTCAATGAAATCAAGAGAAGGACCCTGATTGCTGCAGATAACTCAACGGCATATCTGTCACTCAATGAGTTCACAATTGCAGATCAAGACGGCAATCTTATTCAACCAGTACTAGCCGACAATGGGAACTTGGCAAGGAAGTATGTTCCCGATACTACCAATCCTCAGCTGGTTCGGTTCTCCCTGGATTTGAATACTGGGTACTTCCATCTCACGTTTGATGAGACTGTTGATGTGTCAACCTTTGATGTTGAGACTCTGGTTCTGGGTGAGAACACTACCTCTGCAGGAGCAAACATTTCACTTGAAGTAGGGACCCTACTGTCCAATGACAGTACAGTTCTTACTTACCGTCTGAGCGAAGACGACCTGAACTATGTCAAACTTGAAAATCTGTGCGCATTTGATAAGGACGGCGAAGACTGCTACCTGACAATATTCAATGACACAATACAAGACATTAACTCAAATCCGGTCACGGCTGTGGCTCTAGTTGTCGATCAATACTTTGCCGATACAACAGAGCCAGAGATAGTGTACGTCTCTGTCAATATGTCCTTGGGCAATATCACTCTCGGGTTTTCTGAAGTAGTCGATGTGCGCACCTTTGATCCGACAGAAATTAGGCTACACGAATCCCGAGAGAGTCAATTTTCCACTGTGTTCTACAACCTCACAGGTGGAAGCAGGGTGACGCAAGAAAATGGTCTCTTCATTGACTTTTATCTCAACCAAGAGGACTTGGAGATTTTAAGACAGAATGAAGAGCTTTTCATTTCTCAAGTTACATCATTCATCAGTGCTGGTGCAGGGACTGTGAGAGACTTGTCAAACAACCCTATGAAGCCAATTGATTTCAAGATTGCAGATGACTATGCTGAAGATATTATAGGCCCCAGAGTAATTGGAGCGAGTTTGAATCTAACGGGGGGAACCCTGCAGTTAACATTCAGTGAAAGTGTTCGTGCATCCTCATTCAGACCGACTGAAATCACACTAGTAAACCAGGCAAACACAACTCTCAATAGTACTGTAAGTTATGTGTTGACTGGAGGAGTATTTGGCACGGAACCATCATTTGACAGCACAGTTATTACTGTTGCTCTGACACCAAGTGATATCCAAGAAATCCAGGCTAGAGACACCCTCGCTACATCTGTCGCTGATTCATTCCTGACCTACACCTCTCTCCTGGCCAATGATCTTGCTGATAACCCAGCAGTTGTGGGGGCCATACAGATATCTGACTATTTCGAAGATAGACTCGACCCACAACTGTTCAGCTTTATTAGACTGGATCTGTCGGAGAGACTTATGATTGTTGCATTTGATGAACCGGTCGACATTTCAAGTATAAATATCTCACTCTTCTTTCTGCAAGGACCTGAAGACAATGGTCTTGGGGAAACTCCACAAATAACGCTGACTGGAGGCACTTTCAGCTACTTAGAACCAGAAGCAAATCAAAAGAAAGTGCTTATTTTACATTTCAATCGAGAAGACTACAAAGCAATTGTTCTCGATAGATTCTTTGGAAAGAGCATAGAAACTACTCACATATCACTACCGTTGGGAGCGGTGTTTGATTTCGCACGTAACCCACTTGTAGATGTTCCTGAAACAAATGCAGTTAGAGTACAGGAACTCATTGAGGACCTCACAATTCCAAAGCTACTGGAGTACGATCTTGACCTTAACGCTGGCCTGGTCACACTTGAGTTTGACAATGTGATGAATCCTGCCACACTTGATCCTTCTGCAATCACCTTCCAAAATAATAAGTCTGCGACCACTGACTATGACTTGGTTGGAGGGAAAACAAACAGCTCATCAGACTATACCATTGTGCTGGAGTTGGCAGATATAGACCTCAACGGAATAAAACGCAACACTGAAATAGCAACCGGTGACTACAACACTTTTATAACATTCTCTGCTGATTTAATTGACAGCCATGGAGGTGTAATTGACCCAGTTTTTCAAGTTGCAGCAGGAGTTGACGTTCTTGCAATCACAAATGGAAATGCGAAGATGGTTCGATATTTTACACCGGACACCAACAATCCTTCCTTGGTCAGTTTCAACCTTGACCTAAACCGAAATGAACTCACCCTCATCTTCAATGAGACAGTTGATGCAAGTGAGCTGAATCTAACAACTATCACCCTTCAGAATAATTACACCAATCCAACTACGCTACTGAGTCTTACTCTTCGTACACTGGTCATGCCTACCACCTCAAGCCAAGATGACGGCACAGTGATTGTCATCAGTCTGGGTTTTGATGATCGCAACGACATCAGGGGATACACCAACTTGGCTGTTAGTAATGAGACAACATACATTTCAATCACCAATGAGACTATCATTGATATGAGTGGTCACTCGGTAATAGCAATTCCAGATGACGAGGCACTGCGTGTGAGCTCTTTCACTGAGGACACGGTACCTCCATCTTTGGAGCGGTTCTCACTGGACGTTAATAGTGGGCTCCTCGAGTTGACCTTTGATGAAACAGTCAATGCTGGCTCACTTCTTACGTACACAATTGAGCTACAGAATGACGAAAACGAACTGATTGGGAATGAATCTGTATCATTGACTGGATCAAGCTTCACTGACTCGGAAAACGATTACATCATTGTCGTAAACATCAGTGTGTCAGACCTGAATGAAATAAAGCGAAATCAGTACCTGGCTCAGTCCTATACTGACACCTACATTGTCATAAGTGAGGTGACTGTCCAAGATATGAATGGAAATGGTGCCGTGCCTATCTCAGCAAGAGTAGCTCAGGGTGTAGCTAACTACACTCCAGACTCTGCACCGCCAATGTTCCAATCTTTCCACCTGGACATGGACGATGGAGTTCTTTGCCTGACTTTTGACGAGACGGTAGATATCTCCACTTTTCAGTACACACGAATAACCTTCTTTTCAAGTGACAACATGACTTACTTTGACGAGATGTACTCTCTGTTGTCAGATCAACAATCACCTCCTGTAGACAGCCATGATCCCTGCATTCAACTGTCTATCGACGATCAATACATTCTAAAGCTGCTCACGTTTCTGGCAACCTCCATCAATGACACCTTTATAGAATTTGAGTATGGCGTGGTACAAGACATGGCTCTGATGCCTAACACAGTAGATATGACACTTCTGCCCTTACAGGCTGAGCGTTTTACCAAGGATGAGACGTCACCAATGCTGACTCAATTTAGAGCAAGCTTGAACACTGGCATTCTAACCTTGTTGTTTGATGAGCCCGTCAATGTCAGTTCATTGCTATACACAGAGTTTACTCTGCTGAATGCAAACAGCACCAGTGCAGTAATGTATAGTCTAACTGATGGCAACACTACAAGCGAGAATGGGATACTTGTCAATATTATCATCACAGACTATGATCTAAATGAAATAAAGAAACTGGAGAATTTGTTCACAACAGAAGAAGACACATACCTCCAGTATGAATCAGACACTCTCAGAGACATGGCTGGGAATTCCATTGTTGGAATAAGTTCTAATGAAGCTAGAATGGCAGTAGATTTCACCAGTGATACTACCATGCCGTCATTAGATGCCTTTGATATTGACATGACGAATGAGACTCTCACTCTGTACTTTAGTGAAACTGTGAACTTCATGACACTCAATTTGTCATCGATCACACTGCATCAAAACGAATCGGCTACTGGGACAAATGATAGCGTCAGGCTCACGGATGGAACTATCAGCATGATAGATGATACAGTCATCATGGTCCAGCTTGCAACTCTGGATCTTAATCTGCTCAAGACTTACAGGATTGCCACCAGCAACAACTCAGTCTGGTTAACAATTGATGAAGGTGGCATTCTGGACCAATCAGGAGAGAGACTCCTGCCCAGAGTGAACTCAAGATCAGCCATCCAAGTTGCAGAGTACAGAGCTGATGAGACGTCACCAACACTTGAGAGTTTCATACTCGACTTAGATGAAGGTGGGCTGCTTTGGCTGTCGTTTTCAGAGACAGTTGATGCCAGTACATTCAACTCTACATCAGTGACTCTCCTTCATTCCTCGCCTGGAGATTTAGACCCTGACACATCTCTCACTCTCTCCACTTTCTCCACCAACTGGGAGTGGGATCTTCCAAGTCAGCGAGTGGCCTTCAGTGCAAGCGACCTGAACGAACTCAAGAGACTCTACCGCCTTGCTACCAATGTGAACAATACCTTTGTTTCTATTGAAGAAGAAGGAATCGATGATGTATTTGGTAACCCAGTCATTGAGATTAACGTGACTAACCCACTCCCAGCACTTTATGTGATTCCTGATGAAACATTCCCAGAGCTATTGTTTTACAACCTGAACCTGACTGCTGAGACCATCTTTTTGTCCTTCACAGAAACTATAAACGCCTCCTCATTGAGTGTTTCAGGTATCACTTTGTTTGGTGAACGATCAATTGATGAGAATACCACTCACTTTCAACTAACCCGAGACTCGGAAATTGAGGGTGGGTACCCTATAGGAAAAGATTCCACAGGAATTACTATCAAAATTGGTACAAACGACCTTAACAAGATCAAGCAACTAACAGGCCTTGCCATTAGCAATCTGACAACATACCTCACTCTATCTTCCTCCACTGTGGCAGATATGTCTGGCAACCCAATAGTACCAGTCACTACAGTGGATCCAAGGAATGTGTCCATGTTCTATGAAGATATGATTCAGCCAAACCTTGTTGGGTTTGATATTGACCTTTATTCCGGTGTCTTGAGGCTCACATTTGACGAGACTGTGAATGCAAGTTCAGTTAGTCCAGAGCAAATCACTCTACTCGGAGAGCCTAACAACGACACAACACATCAACACACATTGAATGGAGCTTCATACATTAGTTCTGTGGATGACACAATCATCTCCATAAATTTCACTGATGCCGACTTGAATGAGATCAAACGCCAGAGAGGTCTAGCTGCCAACAGCTCTACGTCGTACATTTCCATTACCGATGACCTTGTGTTGGACATGAATGGAAATCCTGTAGTGTCCATCAATGAAACATCAGCACTAGGTGCCGGTGATAATGACTATGTGAGTGATACTACTTCTCCATTGCTGGTGGAGTTTGAACTTGACTTGACTGCTGACACTCTTACCCTAACATTCTCTGAGACTGTGTGGGTAGGCACTTTGAATTTCGACTCAATAACAATACAGAACGAAAGAAATACTCAGCAGTATACACTCGCCAGTGGTGAAATCTTTACACCTGATGATGGTACTGTAGTCATAGTACAGTTGGACAACTCTGACCTCAATGAAATAAAAAAGAGAGAAGATTTGGCGACACATGACAACAATACTTTCATATCAATCGACATGTATTTAATCCAAGATATGAATCGGAACTACAACAACCTCGTTTTCCTGAGAATCCTCTCCAAGCCTCTAACTATACTGCGGATATGGTACGACCTCATCTTGTGGACTTTCTACTAGATATGGACGGAGAAGGACTTTTACAGCTAACCTTCTCAGAGACAGTCAACGTTTCTTCCCTGTTGGTGTCTGCTATCACTCTGCTTGAAGAACCAGGGTTAGTTGAAGGGAGTCACACTCTTCAGTTGAGCTACGTGAACTCTACAAATGGTCCCATAGTTGACATTGTCATTGGAAATGATGACTTGAACATCTTTAAAATGTTGCCACTTGTAGCCAAGTCTCAGAGGACTTCGTTCATAAGCATCACCGATCAGCTTGTGTTGGACATGAATGGCAACAACAACACTGAAATTGACATCAGTGAAGCAGTTGAAGCAGTTGAAGCAGATGGTTTTGGGCGGGACATGACACCTCCAGAGCTGGAATCCTTTTCCATTGATATGGACAGTGGTCTACTGACACTTAAATTCTCTGAGACTGTCATAGGAATCAATCTCTTACGATCGTACATCACCATCCAGAATGGTTCTGACTTGTCTGTTAGTCATGTGACGCTGATGGAAATGGGTGAATTGGACCAGAGAATGTCCCCCTCTCTGATAGTAACACTGAATGATGCTGAACTGAATGAATTGAAGAGAATAACCGACTTGGCTACTGGTGTTTCTAATACTTGGCTATCAGTGAGAACGGGAGGCATAGATGACGTGTTCAACCTCGGTTTGGTTCAAATTGAAGCTAACGATTCTCTACAGGCTTCAAATCATACACCAGACACCACCAATCCCTCTCTGGTTGCCTTTGACACTGATCTAGATTCAGGAATACTGACACTGGTGTTTGATGAAACAGTTGATGCTAGCACTCTGAATCTGACACAAGTTACGCTTCAAGACACCGAATATGGAGGTTCAAACAACACCTACACTCTGACAGACAGTGACTGGGAGATGTCAGACTCCACAACTATCACTGTCTATCTCTCTTTCGCGGATCTCAATTCCATCAAACGGATCCGTGGGTTGGCAAGCTATGATCCATCCACTGCGGATGAGTCGAGTGGTGTCTCTGAGAATGACACATTTAGTGGGTCTGCTGCATCAGGCTCAGCAAGTGGGAGTGGCGATCAGATGATGATGGATTTGCAGCGCAATAACACATACATTGCCATAACTGATGCAACGATTGTGGACATGAACTCTAACCCTGTGAACCCAATATCTAGTTCACAAGCAAAACCAGTCAGGAGAATAATGCTTGACACTACGCAGCCTCGACTTGTTGCCTTTGATGTAAACCTCAATACAGAACAGTTAATCCTTACATTTGACGAGACGGTTGACACTCTCACACTCATGTTGGACCAGTTTACAATCCTCGGACAACCCCACACAGAAAATTACACACTAACAGGAGGGTTCACCCCATCTGATGATAACTACATTATCGTTATCCAACTTGACATTACAGATGTGAATAACATCAAGAGAGATTTCAGTGTTGCTGTATCAGAAGCTTCTACGAATCTTCTCCTATCCTCTTATGCTATCTTGGACATGAATGAAAATCCACTCAACTTCACTGATCCTCAGATGGTGAGTTTCTACCAGAATGACACCCGTGCTCCAATCCTTGTCAGTTTTAATTTGGACCTCAATGCCAGTGAACTTATTCTTACATTCAATGAGACGATATGGGTTGACACATTGGAGGTGACTGAAATCACCATTCAGGAGAGTGCAGAGTTAAATGTATCAGATCCGACAACTTTTAGGACCCTCGAACAAGGTGTAGCCCTTACTGAAGATGATACAGTGCTTGTCATTTCCCTTCATCCGGTAGATACAAACTACCTCAAGACCTACACAAACCTGGCA